TATTTTTGTGTATCTATACAATTTATTTTCTATCCTTATGCAGGCGGTTTGCTTCCAGTAGAATTTCTGGGTTACATTACCATCCTTTCCGAAAAGGTCTAGTTTCCCTAGATTCTTAATTTTGATTTGAATTTGATGGATATATAATTCAGCACTTGTTTCTTTGTTTCTAATGATTTTTTTGATTTTTTTTTTTTTTTTTGTTTCTCAGCACTTTGTCTAGTCTTTCTAATGCATCTTTTGCTACTTCGATGCGTATTCAAATCTTGATGTTGCATTTTTCATCCTCTGTTGAAACACTCCCCAGATCTTTAAACTTCTGCACCTCCCCAATTTATGACTCATATCTTAGGCTTTTTCTCTTGCTGATGACTATACTTTGTCTTGCAGTTGATGGTTAGTCTTTTTTTCCTTCTTTTACTACCTTGTCTAGGAGGTCCTGTTGTTTTCTTTCCATGTCGGCCATCAATACAGTGTCATTTGTGTATCTTAAGATTAATAAATCGTTGTAGGATCTCTAGGATTTTTTCTACTTAGTGGGGTTTTCGGATAAAGTGATGAAAACTTTCTACAAGATCTTTGCCTTTTTTAAAATCATTACTCTTCAAGTTCATAACAAATAGTAAAAATAATGGCTTCACATTTTCCTATAGATTTCAGTATTTTCTCTTATATTTGATGCTAGCAAGCATTTATAGACCTTTGCTTGATTGTTGAACATCATACCTAACCATAATCAAGAAATGAACATTTTTAAATATCAGGTACTGTATTTAACCCTTTGCCTTTCCTGCGCATCATATATAATGCACAGTACATGTGATTTCCACATCCATGTATCATGTGGTGCACATGAGTGCCATGATTTTAAGAGTGGTAAAACTAAGGACGCTTAAGAAAAAAAGTCTGCTATTAAGCAAGATGTCTGAGGAAAGGCCTAATCTAATATTTTGGGCATCATATATGACCACAGGACACTTGACTGAAATAAAAGACATCTATTTTGAAATGATTATAACCTTTTTATTACATGTGATGCATAAAGCATAGTGTAAATAACTTATGATTTGTACATTCTGTGCATAATGTGTGATGCACAGATTTTTATGTGAAACACTATATATCAGTGAATTCTATTTGCCAAATAAACTGAGTTGTTTTGTAATAGTTAAAAATCTGAAAACAAATATGAACATTTGGATAGTACACACAAAAGTGCTCTGGACACACAAAGAGTTAAGTATTGCTATCTTTTGTGCATCATACCTGTATACACTGCTCTCTTAGAATGTTAGAACAAAACTTTAAAATTTCTGCTTGTACTATTTGAAAACTGCCATATATGAGGTCTAATCAAAATTATTGAGATTGTTGCTATAGTAATGGTGTTAAAGTATGCAAAGTGAAGCTGCTTGGCACAGATTGACCTTGAACTCTGTCATGCATACGCACTGTTATAATGTTCTCACTCCCGTTGTTTATTGCAGCACTCAGAAGGAAAGTTTGGTTTTCTCGCCACATAACAGAGGTTTCATCAGTGACCATGGCTTGTGCAGCAGTTTTTGGCTAAATATAACATTCCTCAGGTTCAACAACAACCATATTTCCTGATCTCACCCATTGTGATTTTTTCCTCTTCAAAAATCAAATCCAAGAAAATGCAATGAGACAGCTGTTTGCTATGCCAAAAAAAAGACTTCCAGGAATCAATGGAAATGATGCTGGATAAAAGTGTGTGGCTTCAGATGAGGACTACTTTGAAGGAGATTAAATACTGAATTGATATATGTTGTAGTTTTCTTTTTATAGACCCAGTCTTCATACTTTTTGATCAGACTTCATATAATGTTATATTTGTATAATAAATGTAACATGTAGTCAGAAATTTGGCAAATTTTGTACAAATAAGAGCAACTCTTTTTTTATTGGCATTTAGTTACTCAAGTATTAATCACTAAAAATACTATTAAGTTTTCTTAATTGTTCCTTATTTAACCAATATTATTAATATACGATATAAGGAAAAATATCATTAATTTTCTTAAGGTTATCTTGAATGAAGACAATTTTGTGTTTTCCTGTTTAGGATTGGGTTTCCGGTTTTTTCTAAAGCCTACTTCAACTTTATACTTTTAATGTCCCTGCCTAAACTCTGAAACTTTATTCACTGATTTATTTATTTCCAATAGGAATAGAAAGGTTCAACTATTGTTCAGTTCACACTCCTTCCCACTTTTTTGAACATAGCAGCAGTTTATACCTTGTTTCCTGTTTGGGTTTCTTGTTCCTTCTAAAGTCTTCTCATTAACTTACACTGCCAGTAGCTCCTTGTGTCTTAGTGGCATTATTGCCTAGCTTGAGGGTGAATTTTAGTGCAATGCTGGGTTTTCTTATTTCTAATTTTCAGAAAGATAGATTTTTATGAAAAACAATATTTTTGCTATAAATTTTGAAAAACATGACATCATCCCAGGTATAAGTTTTTGTAGATTTTACTTTTATGCATTTCTAGTCTTTCTGATGTATTTTTCTCTTCTGAAATTTTAGTTTTGATCAACTTAATTCCTATCAAATCACCTTAGATGATTTACACATGTTTATACGTGTAACTATAATAGCATCTACATTTATGATGAGAAAACAAGTTATATATATCGACAGGATGAGGGCTTAGCAATGAGCTTGCCATTATCACCAGCAATGGCGAATATATACCTGGAATACTTTGAGGAAATGGCATTAGAATCTATAAAGCCAACTCTATGGTTAAGGTACGTAGATGACACCTTCATTTTCTGGCCACACCAGGAAGATGTTCAGGTTCTACTGAACCATGTGAACTCAATAAGACCTTCTATACGGTTCATGATGGAGAAAGATAGTAACAACACGTTCCCATTTCTGGATGTTCTGATATCTCAAACATGGATCATTGGTTCAAGACATCCATATACCGCAAACCAATATTCATTGGACAGTAATTCAATTTCAACTTCCACCATCCATACAGCGTAAAGAAAGGGATCGTCCGCTGCTTACAACATGAGCAAAAGTTGGGTAGTGACCCAGAGACATTAGATAAAGAATTGGTCAGTATAAGCAGTTCTCTAAAATGTAACAACTACCCTGAATACATGGCAGCAGCCCCAATAAACTGGGATAGGTACAAGAGGAGGACAACAACACTCAGAAAAGTCTGCCTGCCTTATGAGAAGGGGTTATCAGAGAAAATACAAAGGATCTGTGGTCCATATAACATCAGGAAAACCTTCAAAAGCTGGATGACAATTTGTGGATACTTCTCCCAAGTAAGACTCCACATAGAGGAGAACATGACTAAAGACTGTGTGTACTCTATCCTGTGCAGCTGTGGAAAGAAATATAAAGGGAAGACAAGATGCTCCTTTAAGATAAGGCTTCAAGAACACCAAAAAGCTGTAACACGAGGGTAAGTGGAAAAATTAGGCGTGACTGACCATATATGGAGAGAAAAGGGAAATCACCACACTCTGTGGGATCAGGTTGAAATCATAGACATAAAACATTTCTTGGAAAATTCATAAACTTAAGGAATCAGTACATATGCTTGGCCACAAAAATCTCCTGTTCTGACCAAGCATAGAAATGAATACAATATGGGAACCAGTAATAGGAGTGCCAGAGAAAAGCAATAACAACAAAAATTGCAATATGAGCTCTGGTAAAAAAATATGCAGTGATAACATCAAAATAATTTGCAGTATGAACACTGGTTTAAAATGGTTGCTGAAGACATTATGTGTATATAATACCCAGAAATTCATACACAAGGACACATGGCACAGAGGATACAGGCGTTAGTTAGATCCAGTGATAGGACCCAAAGAGTGTGAGTTCAATACCTGGTTAAGGCAGTGGAGAATTTGGAGAGGGGTATTAACAGGAGATAACTGATAATGGACATCCATTAGACATGGCATGTGGAACTAGAACAGTCTACCCCAGTGAGCGAAATAAAGGGTTCAGTTTGACATTCCAACCACCTGAAGAAGGACGAAGCGTACAATGGCCGAAACGTAATAAATATAGCAACAAAGATGAGGATGATAGTCCGAGCAATGTAAATAGTGTACATAATGCCTCATCTCGGAAATATAAACACATACAATCTTCAGTAATTTTAGAAGTGTGCTTATGTCTTAAACATTAATAATTGTTGCCAGTTTTTAATTGATCTACTAATGAGTGTCTAACAGTTTTTTTTTTAATGCTTTCACTGCTGTGTTTTATGTTTTTATGAAACTTATATTGCTTGCAAGCCAATGCATAAGTGTTTTCAAGACAATAAAATGTCAATTCCTAGTGCACTTAGTGCTATTTTCAAACCAGCATAAACCTGTTTTGTGATGTATTCTTATTATATTGTAGCAGAGGTGTCATTTAACTTAGTATGTACTGCTGGGTATCTGATCAAAACCAAAATGGTGGTGCCCTTGAAAAATTGATACCATCATTGTCTTTATAATCATTTATTTCCAGTAAATGACAATTTCCTATTTTTCTGAAAATGGGCCAGTTCAGCCAGGCAACAATGCTGTAATACAGTTGTAAAAGTGTAAGAAAAAAGAAAACCTCTTCAATTTTTGTAACAAATTTTTAATCTTTTTATAGTATTCTGTATATTTTAAAATCCACACTTGTTGAATTATGCAAGAGAAAATTTATCTGAAACTCTTAATCAGAAGTCATTATCAGTGTAAATAAACTAATTATGGTTATTAATTTTCTAATCAGTTTTACAGTTTGTATCCATGTAACCTTGTTTTATATTTGGAATTCTTTCAGATCTTGAAGTGAGCCATGAAGAAGCTTTGGAAATCTTGAATTGTGTCAATGGTTTACCTTCTGAGGGAAACTCATCCAATGCCATTCAATCTGGCAGGACATTGACTGCATTGGAATTGTTACAAGAAGAACAAAGCATGCAGAGCATTGTCACATTTTCTGAGAAGTTAGACTCAATGCTAGGAGGAGGAGTACCTTTATGCAAGATTACAGAGTTTTGTGGAGCTCCTGGAATTGGTAAAACTCAAATGTGGTGAGTCCCCTTGTTGGTATTTAACATCATTTTATTCTTTTTTTCATTTTTAATATCGGCAATTGTTAAATATATGAATTAAGTCTACTCATTTTAAGATATATTTTACTTAGTTAACAAAAATCATTAATAAAAATGTCCTGTATTGAATAGGAATATATTTATATTCCTTTATTGGTAATTTAGTGTAGCTCAGTTTTTAGCAAGCACTTTGCACAGACCATTATTATTGTAATTGAGTTCAATCCTCACTCAGTGCACTGCACCTTTTGGATTTGTGCAAGTCTAATTTATTAGTAAATACTGTTCAACCTCTTTAATCTTGTACTTCATGGTCCAGCAACTCCCATTGTCTTGTGGTTTTTTTGAATCAGTCGCCATTAGTTTGAGTGGTTACAAGGGCAGTGTTAATTGTTTACAACTTTCTGCAGCAGCTGAACAGCAGCAGTGTGTTTTTGGTCATATGGTCTTGCTCATTTCTTATATATAGTTGCATATTTACCCATTCAGGATAGTAAATATATATTATTTTTGATTTTAGGCTTTTTTTTGTCTTTTTATTATATAAAACAATAAAATCCTTGTTTGGAAGCATTAATGATTGTTTTAAGCTTTTGATAACATGGTAATATATATGCGGAATGAGCTGGCAAGACTGTTTACATAGTTTTTTATGGGGCAATTTCTGTCATTTTTTGCAGTCTGGTCCCAAAGTTGTTGGATTAAAGAGGTTGGACTGTACTTGTATTCCATCTCACATTGTAATTTTGCAGTTATGATAATATAGGAGGCACAGTGATTAATGGATTTCAGCTCAGACTGAGGAATAGGAGAACTAAGTTCCAATTCCAATCAAATTGATTACATTCACTTATGTGCTAATACCCTTGGGAAAGGTATAAATCCAACTCTTCTCCACCCAACCAGACTGGGTTCTATAGCCTTGAGTGGCAACCAGTCTAGGAGAAAGAAAACTGAATTCAAAACTGTATGTAACCCTGACAAAGCACATACTATGCAGCTAAGGAAAGGATCATTCACATTGACTTGATGATCTCAACTATGGCCAACTCCTTTTTTTTTTTTTTTTTTTTTTTTTTTTAATGCTAATATGATTTTTATATTGTTGGTTAGAACTAATGTTTACTTTCTTTCACTAGCTTTGTAAGGCTAAGAGTACTTTCTTGAATGAGAAGAAGGAGCAAATATAATTGATAATCTTCAAATTTATTTTTAATATTCATATATACTTCCATAATTTTGGTGCAATATATCCTTAAACTTGAATAGGTTTGGTTTATTCCTTTTTGTCTATTTTGTCAGCAAAAAACATCAGTAAATATTTTCTTTCTCTTGAGTTGAGATCTATGAATCAGTTACTTTATTTAATAGCTAACTCACGGGTCACACTCTAGAAAAATAACATACTTTCTTCATAATTAAGATTATTATATTGCATCAAGGCTAGTGACAAGCTGAAAATATATCCTGTCACTTGGATATGAATGGAAAATTTGCTAAAAACTTAGAAATTTTAATTAAATTACATAACTGATTATTGCATGAAAATTAACACATTTTGTTAAAGTTGAGAATTGTTTTCCCTAAATCTCAGCATCAAATGACACACTGGTATTAAAAATTTTTATTTCTTTATATCAATATTAATAATTAATAGAACTGAGCTAACATGTTTAATTTGTGTAATACACACACACACATATATATATATATATATATATATATATAATGAAATTATGGCAAATTGTTTCTGTGCCTCAATATATTTTATCTGCAGTAAATATATTTGTTTGCAGTATGCAATTAGCTGTTGATGTCCAAATTCCTGAATGTTTTGGTGGTGTGGAAGGTGAAGCTGTTTATATAGACACTGAAGGCAGTTTTCTGGCAGAAAGATTAGCAGATATTGCTGAGGTGACCGTTAAACATTGTCAACAGTTAGATACCACAGGTAAATACCTTCATCTTAATGCTCATATCGAAACAAATGCACTAACAACTGCAGATATTTCTTTTCCTAAAATCTTATGTTGAACATTACTCGGGTTTTCTTTTTACTTTTAAAGAATTTTTTGAAGCATATCTGTAAATTCACTTTTGCACTATTTCATCATCCTTATATAAAAGAGAAAGAAGGCAACATGCCCACAGCCTTTTGGTTATGTAATAATCCAGAAATTGTTTATCTCATTTTCATTATGGAAATTGAACATGTTTTACATGAGATGTTCTTACCGCCATCCATTTTAATTTATATGCTAAAGGTAACATTCTATATATTACCTCATAAAAACAAAACTCTGAGCCATTTAGGCATTGAAGTGTTTTATTTATACTTAAATACTTTTAATAATATTGACCTTAAACTGGATATAATGGCTTTATTTTCATCATTGCAAGTTCAAAGTTCTAGTACCTATATAATTTCTCTTAAGAATTCCTAAATATCTCTTCTACAATGATCATGTTAATCATTGCAGAAGAGATATTTAGGAATTTTTTTTATATTCTTTTTTACTCTAACTTGCATAAGAATCTTTATGCTTTGTTAGAAATCCTTTTTTAAATTAATTTGAAGGCATAGTTTGAGAAAAAAAATTGAGGTAAAAAAATTACATAAAGATTGAAATGGGTAAATAAGACCTGCTACTTTATTTCTATTGTAGTTGTAAATTATGTGAATCACAACATACATTTACAGTGTCAGTCAAATTTTAGACTTGCACTTAACACACACCCACACTGAATGGCACAATTTTAAGCTAAGTACTTTTGGTTTGGTATTGAATAGTTATATCTAGTTAGTGTTTCTCAACCTTTTCTTTTTGTTGCCCCCATAAGCACAAATAAAAATTCTGTTTAACAGGAAATATATTTTATTTATGAAAACAAAATGTACTAGAAAATATAAATCCTGATTAATGACTACACTGCTCCTGGTGTCTCCAGGCCCAATTGTGGGCCTAAGGGCCCATGTTGAGAATCACTGTATTAGGTCTCCTCTTCCAATCTATTTCCATACACCATTAGCATTGGTTTTAAATTTGCTACTGAGATTCATAAAGTAGACAGTTGATACAATAGTTAAAAAAAAAAAAATCATAGACAAATGGCACAATATCTTTCACTATTTAGATTGTTTTAAATCACTCAATACTTGAAAGATATCAAAACATGTAACACTTGAGTTTTGAAATTTGGTTTTTATTAATGACTTTAAAATCTGAGCCTTATTTACAAGGTAATATTTTTGGTACATCTTTGACTTGTGAGACTAGCACAAGTGCTTAGCATCAAAAGAAATAGACAGTCTTGTCAGTACTATGAAAATGCTTTTACTATTTCCTTAAACTGATTTTGTTAGTTTTCGCATCAAATTTTTTTTTTTTTTTTTTTTTAAGTTGATACCAGCCATTATGAATTGACTACAAAAAATATTAGACTCATTAAATTGTTAGAATTCTATAAAAGTTCTATATCCATCAAATGTATTTTCTTTTTCATTTATGTTCTGTTATACAAATATTTTGTGTCTGTTCAGGTGAAGTGTCATCAGTATTTACAACTGAGCGTGTCTTGTCTGGAGTTCATTATTTCCGCTGTCGGGATTATGTTGAGCTGCTAGCAACAATTCATTTGTTGACAGATTTCATAAAGGATTATCCCAAGGTCAGAGATTTCGTTGCTACTAAAAGATTGTTTTTTGTTTCTTGTGTTTATTTTTCTTATTCAAGTTTTTTATTTTTATTTTTTCCTGTTTTTATTATTGGGGTGGGGATAAATTATTTTTATGCCAGTTTTTATTTTTATTTTTTTTTGTTCAAGACTTTTGGTTTATTTTAAATTTTTTGTTTCTCCTTTTTTATTTTTTTTGTTTCTCCCTTTTTTATTTTTTTTGTTTCTCCTTTTTTTTTTTTTTTTTTTTTTTTCTCCTTTTTTTTTTTTTTTTTTTTTTTCTCCTTTTTTATTTTATTTTTTTTTTTTCTCCCTTTTTATTTTATTTTTTTTTTTTTTTTTTATTTTTTTTTTTTTTTTCTCCCTTTTTTATTTTATTTTTTTTTTTTTCTCCTTTTTTATTTTATTTTTTTTTTTTTTTGTTTCTCCTTTTTTTTTTTTTTTTTTTTTTTGTTTCTCCTTTTTTTTTTTTTATTTTTTTTGTTTCTCCTTTTTTTATTTTATTTTTTTTTGTTTCTCCCTTTTTTATTTTATTTTTTTTGTTTCTCCCTTTTTTATTTTATTTTTTTTGTTTCTCCCTTTTTTATTTTATTTTTTTTTGTTTCTCCCTTTTTTATTTTATTTTTTTTGTTTCTCCCTTTTTTATTTTATTTTTTTTTTCTCCCTTTTTTATTTTATTTTTTTGTTTCTCCTTTTTTTATTTTTTTTTTTTGTTTCTCCTTTTTTATTTTATTTTTTTTTTTCTCCTTTTTATTTTTTTTTTTTTTTCTCCTTTTTTTTTTTTTTTTTTTCTCCTTTTTTATTTTATTTTTTTGTTTCTCCTTTTTTATTTTATTTTTTTTTTTCTCCTTTTTTATTTTATTTTTTTGTTTCTCCTTTTTATTTTATTTTTTTTGTTTCTCCTTTTTTATTTTATTTTTTTGTTTCTCCTTTTTTTTATTTTTTTTTTTTTTTTTATTTTATTTTTTTGTTTTCCCTTTTTTATTTTTTTTTTTTCTCCTTTTTTTTTTATTTTTTGTTTCTCCCTTTTTTTTTTTTTTTTTTGTTTCTCCTTTTTTTATTTTATTTTTTTGTTTCTCCTTTTTTTTTTTTATTTTTTTTTTTCTCCTTTTTTATTTTATTTTTTTTGTTTCTCCCTTTTTTATTTTATTTTTTTTGTTTCTCCCTTTTTTATTTTATTTTTTTTGTTTCTCCCTTTTTTATTTTATTTTTTGTTTCTCCCTTTTTTATTTGATTTTTTTGTTTCTCCCTTTTTTTATTTTTTTTTGTTTCTCCTTTTTATTTTATTTTTTTGTTTCTCCTTTTTATTTTTTTTTTTTGTTTCTCCCTTTTTTATTTTTTTTTTTGTTTCTCCCTTTTTTTTTTTTTTTTTTGTTTCTCCCTTTTTTATTTGTTTTTTTGTTTCTCCTTTTTTTATTTTTTTTTTTGTTTCTCCCTTTTTTATTTTTTTTTTGTTTCTCCCTTTTTTATTTTTTTTTTGTTTCTATTTTTTTTTTTGTTTCTCCTTTTTTTTTTTTTTTTTTGTTTCTATCTTTTTATTTTTTTTTTTTTTTTTCTCCTTTTTTTTTTTGTCCCCCCCCCTTTTTATTTATTTATTTATTTTATTTTTTTTTTTTTCCTAAGTTTACTTGCTGCTGTCTTCACCTGTTATGTGTGCCATCCAACTTATTCAGAAATGTCTCACCTGTCATCTATATACAACTATTTTCTTAAATCACTGATTAAAAATGGTTGGGAGCAAATGAATCCTCTTTGTCTTAAAGAAGACAATCCTTCATTAGATCCTATAAAACAGCACTACAGAATCATGGAAAATAATGATCTAATCAAGATGTTCACTTTTCATGATACATTAAACAAAAGATTAGGAGGGGAAACTCCCATCAATACTAGAAAGATCTCTATGAGTTAGAGGACTCGAGAAGTTTTCCTGGAAAATTGTTTTAATAGAAAGATTTTATAAATTTTAGCAGACATAAATACTAACTGTTCATTGAATGAATACAGAATGGAAATTTCACCATTATCATTGAACCATTTTACAGTTGAAATGGCTAAGATCTAAGTTCTATTCTAATCATTTCTTCTATTGCACTTATGGAACTCTCTACCAGCTTCTTGTTTTTCAGTCAACATTGATCTTTAAAAATTTAAATGCAATGTCAATTGTTATCTTCTGTTTTCTTAATTCCTGTTATTTTATTGTTCTCTCTCCTTAATGTTTTTGATTTTTGTTTTTTTTTTTCATACTCTGTATAATCCCTTGTATCTTAGTGGCTTTATTGTCTTGCTTGATGTGAAATCATTAAAAAAAAATAGAAAAAGACAACCAAATAAAGTTGTGATAAAAAGAACTAAAAAGAATTAAGATAAAACTCAATACTGGTCAATAAGTAATACAAATAATGAAAAAAAAAAATGGTGAAATTTATGAGAATTGAATGCCAGCAGAACTTCTGTCAAAAAGAACTCACTAGATCTATAATATTCAATAAGTCTACTGGATATCTATTAATTTATCTTCTTGATTGACTACAGTGTTTCATATCAATTCTCAGATCTCTCTTCAGGGCCAGATGTTCAATAAATCTGTTGAAATTATTATCAGAGCTCATATTTATACCCTTCAAAACAAACACTAATCATAAATTTAAAAATTTAAATTAATATAGAATTAAAAAAAAAAATAACCAGTACGTTTATATTATGATAAGTATGTCTTGATGTTCAATAAATATAATCCCTATTTAATCTGAAATTGTTTGATATTTGCTGAAAGTTAATGATATAAATTAAAATAAAGTGGATTTATAATTAAATAATTTGTAATAATCAATAGCAATAAATATTAATATTAATTATGTGACCATTGTTAAAATAGCAAGAATGAAATGAGACAAGGAAAAAATTTGAATATGCATACATATATGTATACAACATTTATATATAGTTATATTAAAAAAATAACTAGTTCTAAATTTAAATATTACGTTTTTAACAAAACTCTAACAAGAATTCGAAATTTATAATTAGTGTTAGTTCTGAAACAATATAAATAAGAGTAATTAATTACTAAACAATTTATACAGAGAACAAATAAAGAAACAACTTGTCTTTTAACTTTAATCTGTTTTTTAGTACTAAAGAAGTGTATAGCGAAATTCTTAAAAAAAAATAAATAAAAATAGAAAGATAATTTTTAATAAAATAAATTTGTCTAAACTTTTCTAAAAGATTGGTCAACTCTGACATGTTAGATCACTTTTCAAGAGAAAATAATAATGGTAAAAATTCATTGAATGTTCTCCCTTGTAGATTATTTACACAAGGGAAGCTATTTTTTATATGTAAAAATGAGATAGTTATCTCCCTTGAAAGATCTTTCATTTTTTTTTTTTTTTTTTTTTTTTTTTCAGAGCAACCGCTGACTTCATATTATTTAGTAGCATATCACTAAGATTCATTTTTTCCTTTTTTTAAGTTGGCGCATTTTAAGGGTACAATATCTCCGGTTGCAATGCACCGTTTTGGTTACTTAGACGTTACATCCAGCCATAGAAAATAAGACAATACAATAATCTGATTTCTTTTTCTTTTCTTTCCTTTTTTTTTTTTTTTTTTTTTTTTTAACATTAGGCTTTATGCAGTCATAAAAAATATGACTAATCAAAATTTCTTTAAAATAAGGAAATATTTTAAACGACCATATTTTTTTTTTTTTTTTAATCATGATATCTCTATTTTTGTATTGATAGGTAAAACTGGTGATTATTGACAGTATTGCATTCCATTTCCGCCATGATTTTGAAGATCTTGGCCTCAGGACACGTTTGCTCACAACTGTGGCACAAAACCTCATCCAAATTGCCAATCAACACAAATTAGCAGTAAGTATTGCTATTACATTCAACATTTTCTGTTTTGACATGGCAAAGTAATAATAGGAAAAGTTGTATGCATTAGTAGTTTTTTTACTTTTGTGAATCATAGATCATTCAGAATTCTAATGCCTTGAAAATTAAAAAGCATACTGTTTCACGATTTCCCAGGCATCAATGAAATAAACTGATTAAATCAATTTAACTTTGTAAGTTGAATTGCAACTTAATCTATCAGATAAAGAATTTTTTTCCTTTGAAACTCAATAAATACAAGTATTGTAGGAAGTTATAATCTTTTTCTGTTGTTCTGAGTATTATTATTTACTTTGTAAATGTGGATGAATATCAACAGATGTTACAGATTTGGGGATTTCAATAGAATCCATCTTTATACATTGCAGTCCTTGTCAAAGAAAATTAGTTAGAAAAATTGTCATGAAAGCTACAAAATAAAAGCAATGTTAGTTTAAAAGTTTGGTGCTGTTTTCTCCAGAGTTTCTAAGACAAACCTTTGTGTAATTGTTTGGTCCACTTGTCAGCAGGTATCAGCAAATGTCTGTTAATTTTCTCTTTTTTGTTATTTTTATGTTAAGTTAAAAAAAAATAATTTATGCGCTTTTTTTTTTTTTTTTTATTGGTGTTAGGCTGATTTTTCATCTTTGTATGTATTTGTGTGCACATGTGTAAGATGTCATAGTTACATCTTCTTTCCATAATTAACTTGTTTCCTTAAATTCTCTCATTATTCCTTTTCTTTCAGTTTTGCATATTAGGGACAGAGACTACTTAAATTTTGGCTAATATACTAAAATATTCTGGAGTTTTTTAAAGTTTACAAAATATCGGTGTATTTCGTTTTTTGTTTATTTCTTGTTTAAATAATTTTTTTTTTTTTTTTTTTGTTAATACTTAAATGGCAAAGATGGTCAAGAAAAGACATATAAGCAAATATTTCCTTTTCCATTTAAGCATTAATTAAAAAAAATTATTTAAATAAGAAATAACCAAAAAGTACACTTAAATTATGAAAAGAAAAAATAACGATATCCTGCACATGTACAGGGGCACACACACACACAGAAGAAAAATCAACCTAACACCACTAAAAAAGTGCATTATTTTTTTTTTAACTTAATATAAAAATTAATGAATATAAGAAAATTGACACGCTTACTGATATCCCCTGATGATTGGACCAAACAACTACACAGTAGAGGTGCTGAATATAACATCAATGCACGAAGTGGCAAATTTTATATTTGTATTAATTATATATAGTGTGTACACAGCAGTTATATATATATATATATATATATATATATATATATATATATATATATATATATATATATATATATATATATAGTGTAACCGGATATAAGAGATTTTCTCTGGTCCCAAATTAGAGCCTGTGTTAATGTATATAAAATAGACCAAACCCAGATATAAGAGACTTCTTCTTGGTCCCAGCAACTCTCTTATATTCGGGTTACACTAATATATATATATATATATATATATATATATATATATTTTGCTGTAAACGCAAACATTAAAATATGTGCAAAAAACAATATGTAAGAAAAATTCAAACAAAAAAGGAGGAAAGAGCAAGGATAATAAAATAGTCACTGTAAAGAGTGTGAAAAAGAATATTTGCTTGGTTTTAGTGTAAGAAAAGTGTGATTATTTTTTTTTTTTCCTTTTTACTGCTGATTTCTTGGTTGTTATATATATATATATATATATATATATATTAGTCCTAGATATAATTTCCCAGTTGATTGATGATGAGATACCACTCAGTAGTGTAAATGATGCCTTCTGTGCAACACTCCCCATCCAATGGACAATTGTTTTTATTTCTGCATTTGCATTTCTTTTTTCTTCCCTTACACATCTTTCTGTCTCCAAAATTTTCACATTATGGCTCTTAACATTTTCCAAGTTACCAGTGCAACTGTAACTCAGTTTCATTGTGTTTCTATTAAACATCTTAGCTAATAAGGAGATTTTAGGAAAATGTTTATATAAAAGCTTAAAAAATATCTTCCCAACCTTGGTTTTTAACTGAAAATTAAAGGCAGGGTTGAACAAGATCATGCCTCTGCTTCTGGATATATATATATATATATATATATATATGTGAAAAGTGTATATAAATAAATATATATATATATGTATAATTATTTATATATTATATCTGTGTTACTTATTAAAAGCTCAATATCAGAGATAGAGCTAACATATTTGGTTGGATAGATGTGAGTTTGTGACCCTGGGTTTCACGCTTTAGCGATCGTCAGCCTGAAATCCAAAGGTCACAAACTCACATCTATCCAACTATATATATATATATATATATATATATTGTTCAAACATTGCACATTTATATACACATTTGTTCTCAAGAGGCTCTGAAGAGCAAGGTTTGAAAATGATTATTCCTTTTTATTTATTTATTTTTTTTTCCTCTTGTTGAAATATTAATTTTTTTGCTTCACCTCTTTACAGTGACTTTCTTTTATTATCCACATTGCCCTTTGTTTGCTTGTTTATATTTTTTATATTTGTTATGGTATATTCTTACACATATTTTAACAGGTCTGTGTTTACAACAATAATAAAGTTTTGTACTCCTCACAGTGTGTGTGTGTTTATATATATATATATATATATATATATATATATACACACACACACGACAGAAGACCCACTAAGTTTTATTGCTAACAAAGAAAAGATTTTATAATTTTAGTGATTATGGTTAGTGGCAAAAAAAAAAAAAACGTTTACTGGCAACGCTTCAAAATAATTTCAGTCCGAGTTGCTGGATTTTTGTAGTATAGTTTACATGGCAGATCAATGAATGGTAGTAAACAGATTACTCTGAAGCAGATTTCTGCAACAACTGACTCTGCCAGTCAACTCGCTTAACTGGCACCAACAAACAAATACCGTCCTAATAGGCACTCAAGTCATGGTGCCTCGCTGAGAGAGTACTCATTGCAATAGATGAAAATTTAGCGTCTGCTTGATGATGATGGAACATCACTAGTTTGGACCAGTAGCCTTCTTAGGGTCAAAACTCTTGATAATACTTGCAACTTCACAAGCTGAAATAAAAATATGACTGAAATTATGCTCACTGAGATTGAGAAGTTGGGATGGGAGATATCCTTTGACATCTAATGTTGAGTAAGAAGCAAAGATCATGGTGAAAAGATGACCTCAGGGCTATTTATAATAGTTGGCAAATGAGGCTTGACCTCTATTCAAAATTTCATTTGAGATCTTCCTGGGATCCAAGTTGTTTTTTTTTGACTTTGGCCTGAACTGCTTGTGCATAGCTACACTTTGCATTTTCCAGTTCTGAATGAAGTGAGTGTCCTACTATACTGTTCCTTGTGATAGATATTCTAGTAGTGGTTATGAGGATGGGAGCTATGGCTGTAGCACATTCAGGGGTGAATCAGGGTTGACTGTTCAGTTTTTGCTGAATTCTCTTTCTGAGGTATAAAAACTCTCCAGTCAGCTTTTGCATCGTTCTATGGAATAGCACATCAGAGGATGCCTTAGATTCAGCATCAACTTTGACACTGACTAGTGAATGATCTGAAGCACTGGGAGTTGGGTTAAAACTTCAGCAAACCATTTTTCTGAGCAAGATGTGAGGAAGAGATCAAGGAGGTTTGCCTGAGGTCCTGTCCCATCAGAAACATGGGTGAGTTCCTTAATGATCTGTGTCATTTCGTAGGTGACTGAGATAAAAATCCATCTTTTTATATGTTGGCATAAATAGCAAAGTATTATAAAAGTTCCCTATTTAATCACTTTTGGATCTAATCCATATTTACAGCTCTTGTACATGAAATGTAAAAGCTTTTCTTCATGACATTTTCAAAGTTATTTGCTTTTTTATTTATTTATTTTACTACTTGCAGGTAGTTTTGACAAACCAAATGACAACTCGTGTAAGTAATCAGGGTGATATGGCATCCAGCCTGATTCCTGCATTAGGAGAGAGTTGGGCTCATGTCAGTACAATTCGTATTATTCTTTTTTGGGAAGATAAACAAAGAATGGCCCTTCTATACAAATCTCCTGATCATAAAGAGGACACTGTCCCCTTCCAGATTACTGTAAGTGCTCAGGGTTTTTTTTTTTGTGTTTTTTATTTTAGAACTTAATGGCCTCTGAATATTCTTTATGTATTCATTTGCAGCCATCACTATTACCGCTTCATTACACATCCAACACAAAATTTTCTTTTCTAATCACTATTACCCTAAACTGCGAAATTCTGGATGAAACATTGATAATATTAAAAAGTCATACATGTGTTGTTAAGTATAAATTATTTCTACCATGTACAAAAAAAAAAAAAAGTTGCTTAAAAATTCTAATTTGCTAAAACTTCTTCCTATTGCATTAAAAGCAAACATATTCTCTATGTAAAATAAACTGCACCTTTGGAAGCATTTGTGAAGATTATAACTACCAAGTGGTGATATTTGAATTCAAGGGTTTGCAGGTGTACACTTAAACCTATGTATTTCTCTTTAACTTAGCAATATTTTTTCATTTAAAAAATACACACATTTCAACAGTTTTTAAAAACAGTCACAACAGAATGTTTTCATTTCTAAAATTGATGGAGAATCTATGCAAATTATTATTCATATTATTTTTTTTCTTTTGATTCTTATTTTGTGTAAAAAAAAAAAAAAAAAAAAAAACTTTTTTCTCCGATTGGTCAAAAAGTGATAAAGTAGGTGATTTTAAATGCAAACAATTTAAATATGCCAAGTAGCTTGTATGATTTAATACAAATTGTGTGTAGATAAATTTTAAAAAGATCAGTATATCTTAAAATTTAGTGTTTATCTGTTTTTGAAGAGATGGTGAAAAATTTAGTTTAAGTATTTGAGAGGGTCTAATAAACAGAAGGTCAGAAAATGGAAGTTTCAAATTTGTTTACTGTTACATTTTGGTAGCATCATTTGAAAATATATATATATATATATATATATATATATATATATAGTTTCTATGTTCTAAAGAAGGAAATGATGCATGGACCTTTCTCTTGCTATTGAGTACATGTAAGATTTTTTTTTTTTTAATTTTATGGTTTAAATATATTGTGCTTATGTTATCTTAATTTCTTTTTCAGATGGGAGGAATACGTGATATGATATCCCCGAATGTTGAAGTTGAAAAGATGTCGGAAGAAACTGAGGAGACTATTGCCGGGCCTGCAGCTAAACGACAAAAAGTCACTTGATTTAGTATATGTAATCTTCACCAAATCTGTGATATTATTGATGACACTAAATTCAATGTTAGTCAATCTGTCTTTCTACTTTTATACAAACAGATGGATAGACTGATAGATATGCAGAAACCCTTGCGACCAATCTCTAAAATGGTCAAAGATATTTACTTCCTTTCTTGCTAAAAAAACCCCCCAAAAAACACTTATGTGCTTTTTATTATATATATATATATATATATATATATATATATATATATATATATATTTGCCTTTTTAGTATTCCTTACCTCTGGAATTTTCTGCCTCTTTATACCAAATGCAACCCTCTTTACTAATATATGGGCAGTGATAATCTTGTTTTTTTGCATTTACAATCATTTTCTTGTGATAATGATTACATTGCCTTTTAGAGAAATTTAAGATAAATGAAATTGCTTTCATTTTATATATTCTTACCAGTGTTTCAACCATTCATCAACATTTTCAAAGGGATTTTGAAGAAACTTCCAAGTGGCAGTTTCATGAATAGATACATAAATATGTTTGTGAGTATATTACTTCCAATGATATTTATAGTGGATACCTGTATTTAAGTAATATTTTAAGCTGTATTTATTTTATTTACTGACCTGTACACTCAAGCAAACTTACTAAAGAAATCCGTCAGGATTTGAATTTGCATCCCTTTGCAAGAGAAACCATTACAAAGAGGGATGCAGGTTCAAATCCTGCCAGAGGGTACATTTTCTTTTAATAAGTTTTTTTTTTTGAGTGCAGGCTGGTAGACAAAATGCTGCTTCAAACAAAACAGCATCTATTCATATACAAGTATTTACTAAAAATAACATTTGAACAATAAAAATGTCAGATCAAAAAGTTAAATAATTTTAATTATATATATATATATATATATATATATATATACACACATACACATATATATGCACACAATATGCGATATGTATTATCATATTACATCAACTGTATCAAATTTTTATTATATATTATTTAAATAACATTATCCATTGCTTAAAATTATCTTTAACTTGAACAGTAAAAATAATTGAAATCAGTGAAAGTCTTATTTAAATTCACATATGCAATAAACATATGTCATACATAAAAAGACCATCCCTATTTACATGCCATAGAAGTGTATATGGGTACATATTTGAAAGAGAAAACCTTTCTATTCATGAATACAAATTGGCAGCTTTAATATACTGGTAAAATCTTTCATACAATAATACACAAGTAGGCACCAATAATTAAAATAAAATGTCATAATCACTGACATTTGAATATCTTTAAATATGTATTCTTGAAAGATGTATTTGCTCTACATATATCTTAGTTGAATATTACTGTTGTATTATTAATACTCTATTTAATTTTACTTACTCATTTTTATATACACATTGCTGGAATTAAAATTAATGTTTTTGCCAGCAAACCTATAACCACATCACTTATTTTTATTCATTTCTTGTTTAGGATGGCGGGATGTCTAGTCAAAGTGTTACTTAAAGATTAAACTTTTAACAAGTCATTGCCCTTTGCAATCACACTTGTATTTTTTAAAATCTGTGATAGCCTATGACATGAATAAGTTTTCTGCTCAAAACCGGTCCTTCAGTCATTGTTAATTGAAATTTCTGAAAGCTACAGTTAATTCCCTTGATTGGAATTTGAATTTTTTTTTCTTTTGTTAAAGACATCTATTGTTGTTATTATTAATGTTATTTTTATTATTCACTAATTAGGAAAAAATCAGTTTATTATTTGCAATTCTAACTTGAGCCACATTTTATCATTGTTAATATTTTTCATCTTTAATTTTTCTTACTGTGAGTAGTTGACAATATCCTCAATAAGATTTAAGAATTCTTTGCTCCATCTCAGAATCCAATAGAATTTTGTATGGGTTTTTTTTTTTTTTTCAATTTACATATGCCAGTCATGTATAAAACCATTTATATGATGATATATAACTCTTAAGTTATACCAAATAAGATCTTTTTATCTCTGAAACCTTATCAGATGACTATTAAAAATATTTTCAATGTTTATCTCTAAAGACCTATTCAAAATTGAATAGGCTTTGCTTGTCATGTAATTTTTTTCATTATTCTGTTTACCAAAATCTTGATGCCAATTGAACAATCCATCCACTTAAAAGCAATCATTGTCTAATGTATAATATTGCACAATATCATTAGCTGAATTGTATCAGTAATGAAATTAAGCTTTACAACAAGCCAAACTTGGTCCAGCATTAAATTAAATCTACAGAATTGTTATAAAAATGCCTTATTTTATTTTATATTACTTTACGTTGATTAAATTTCTTCAGTGAGTAACTTTATAGGCGTGCTGTATCTGCAGAATACGTTCCATGATATACAAATGGATTTTCAGGTACTGAATATCCATTTCTTTACTCTTGAAGTTTAAAGGCACAGATGCTCAGTATATGAAAATCCATACTTTTCTATAAATGTAATTCATGTAGATATAGACATAAAAAAAAAAAAAAAACCTAATCTCCAGCAAGATTTGATTTTGTATTTCATTATGTCAATTTACAGCCAATATTCTTTTTTTAAATATATTAAAAAAAAAAAAAGTTTCAACCATTGTCTCTTCTCCACACTCCCTGATGATGCAGACGCAGGCATCCAAGAACTTTTTTTTTTCATCTCAATTTATACTTGATTTCCAAATATTAGAAGATAATCCTTCCTCTTTGAATTTTCTGTCAAGGAATATTTGAATTCATATTCATACCTAAACATATGATCTCTTAATACACTTTCTCTGATTTTTTTTATTCCATTGCCAAGTTTAATCTAATAAAAACACCTCTCCCATTTTCTCTGAACTTACAAACATGTGGGCATTTGCTCACAATTATTCAAAAAAACACATACTCTTTAACCCACTCTTACATATATATATATATATATATACACACACACACAATAAGATGGTATTGGTGCATTATTGAATTAAATGCAAATTTTCTATGTTTCTATTAAATTATTATTGTTGCTGATTTTTTTGTTCTTTTTCGTTTTTTCTTTTTTCTCTTTTCAATCATTTTATCTTTATCAAATTTTTACCTTAATGTTCTTTTGCAGACAAGAGAAAGTATTTTATGGATCATTTTACAACTTAACCATTCTTCATTACAATAAGCTTTACTTTACAAGAGGAAATTGACAGCAAAATAAATTTCATATGCTTGCAATCTTTTGCCAACTCTTATGTGGTTCTCTAGAAGTTTGCTGAGAATATCATGGACTGAACATGTGAGCAATGAAGTTTAGAGAAAATGAAAATAAAAATGACGCTTATAGTTATCAGGAAGAGATAGTTGAAGTTTCCAAGCACATCATGAGAAAAGAGGACTTGGAAAATTTGATTCACAGGGCATATAAGACAAGAGACAGGAAAACCGTTTATAAATTATCTAGTAATCTTGTGTAAATGGATGGCAGAACAGTGTTTAAGAGGGATAACAAAAAGATAAAATTTACTAAGAGCTACAAAGGACAGGAAATTGTGGGGGTCATAATTGCCAACATCCTGAAGGGACATGGCACATAGTAGTTCATCACAAATGAAAATAGTTAATGATTTTTCATTTAATGCAGAATGGTTCAGAGGAAGTAACTGTGCAGTTTGTTGCTATTAAATAGTACCCTAATACTACTTACTCTCTCAGCTTTGACTTTTCTCATACATTTAACCATCAGTTGCTAATAAAATATCTTCATTAATGACTTGACAGTTGATTGAGCAGCTGGTTAGTGCACTATTTACATTATTCAGACTATTGTCCTCATCTTTGTCGCCTTATTTATTACGTTTCGGCAGTTGTATGTTCCGGCCTTCTTCAGGTGGTTGGAATGTCGAACTGAACCCTTTATTTGGCTCACTGGGGGAGACTGTTCTAGTTCCACGTACAATGTTTAATGGATGTCATTTATCAGTTATCTCCTGTTAATTCCCCTCTCCAAGTTCTCCACTGCCTTAACAGAGTATTGAACTCACACTCAAGGACACGTGGCACAGTGGATAAAGGCATTGGTTAGATCAAGTGACATAACCCAATAATGTGTGATGTGTTCTTTTAAGAGTATTTGTAGGTACATCTACTAACAAGACTTAGGGTATTCCTCCATCTTGCTATTTTATGTGCTTTGTCCTTTTTATTATCATTTTACCCAAAGTGAATCAATTAAGATGACAAGACAATAATTGACATTGCATTACAAGAAACTGGAGAGTTCCAAAAGTGGAAGAGAGGAAACTATTAGCATAGAGCTTAGTTACGTCTAACCAATTTACCTGTAAAATGATGAGCCCTTGCTGCTAACTTTAATTCTTTTAAACTGTTGGAGAAAGTTTATGATAAAATTACATAACTCTGCTTGAAAATAGTTAATTTTTGGTATGTAAGTTTAGTCAAAGGATTTTATTTTTTTTTTCAAATACATGAGATTTAACAGTTTAGCAATATATCCTGATTGACCTCCTTTTAGGCTCCACTTGCTTTGTCGAATTCAGAAACGAATACACTGTTTCTCAGGTGAAAACTTGATGTCTGCGATCAGCCATAAAAATATTCTTAAAAGGATTGTGAGGTCAGTGAAGTAACTTTCAAAAACTTGATTGATTATGTTATTGATGTTTTGAAGATTTTTGCAAGTATGCAATTTCGGAATCGATTTTTGGATGGATGACCAAATTCACTTAACACAAAAATTGTTGCTGTAATTTGATAATCTTTACAGCAAAGTCATGTAATAGAAGCTTCTGCTACAGTTTATTATTCCTTCAAACTATGCATAAAATATTAATGAAACAATAAAATAAGTGGCTGGAGAACTTCAGATCACTCTAAGCAATATATTTCCCACAAATCTTTTGAACTTTCACAAGAGGTCACAGTGTTAAATGAAAGATCTAAATTTTTAATCTTTAATGTAAAATACTGATTAACAGTACTAATTTATATCTGAAAGTTCTCAAGTACAATGAATAATAGAAGCTTAACTCAGTTTTCCCTTTTTTATTTTTGTTTCATATATTGTGACTACTTTGCTTATAGTTAATATTTTCTTGATTCCAGATGAACACTTAGAAATTTTCAAACTTATTTCAGTGACATTCACTTTCAAAATTATTTTAGATCTATGTGAGGGAAAAGTGTCAGTTTAAACTGACATCAAGAACATATAGCAACTTAATGTTATATGGTTATAGTAAATTTTTTCAGTGTTAGCATCACTTTATACATCTCTTTAACTACACCAAAATGCTATTGTCAAATAAATCTAACACTATAGTATCTGAAAATTGTGCTTTGAAATGAGTAAATCTTACATTGGAAATATGATTGATTTTCTATGGCTTATCAACTCATTGCATTTTTTTTTTTTTTTTTGTAAATAATGATGATTGCGTGACTTACTAATTAACCCATAGTTGGGGGAGAACATGGATTCATACATTTCCCCAAGGGTATCTGCATGTAAGCAAATATAATGAACTGAGCTGGAATTGGGTTCTCCGATTAACAATTCTGAGCCATTATCCATTACACCACCTGCACATTGAAGCTTATAGAACCTGGTATTTCCAAGTGGTCACACATCTCTGTACTGACCAGGCTCAATGTTGCTTAACTTCAGTGATCATATGGAAACCAGTAAACATGACCTGGCTGTAAGCCTGGCAATATGAACTTTTGGAGGTACACATTTTTATTTGTGTCTGTGGGTGAGAGAAAATTTTGACCTGTATTCCACCTTTCAAAAATTGTGGTTGGTTTTGCACAAAACTTTCACCACTGTAATCAAATCATATGTGTTGGTTCCTAGGAACTGAGTTGCTGACCCTCATACGATGGGAGAATCCACTATATATATATATATATATATATATATATATATATATATATATATATATATATATAACTTAACATCTTTTAATATGTCTAGTATACAAAGTATAAGTTATTTTCCTTGCATTAGCTGTGTAGCAGTATCTTTGTTATAACAATGGCAAACAGAATATTTATGAAGCCAGATGAAAAAACCGACACTGAAAGAGCAACGTATGACATTAATAATTGGGAAAATGTGAAAACTTGATATTAACAAAATGTCATGATTTTTTTTTTTTTTTTTTTTTTTTTGGACAGCTTGAGTAAACTGGTTTTGAATAATCTGTCAGTTATAAGAAAAATATTTTAAAACTTAGCATCAGAATGTTTTTATGATTTTTTTTGATTTGTTTTTGCTACATAAAAAAAAAAAATAGATATGTGAAATATTGGCTCTAGTGGGGGGGGAGTTTCAATACTTTCATATAAAATACTAGAGATGTTAGGCTTTTTTTTTTTTTTTTTTTTTTTTTTTACCAAATATAATATAAAAAAAAAAATCTGAAAATGACCTTGGAAGTGAATTTATGGATTTTGACTTTGTAATTGTCAAGATAATGGAAATACAAGATAAGCAAAATTTAAGTATATTTGTTTTTGGTAAAACTTTGAAATTTTTTTTTCTTTTTTTCTGAATAGTTTGTTTCCACTAAAGCTGCTTATGTATGTTTCTTGCGTATCTCCTTTGGAAAGGCATGAATTTACTTCTCCCTGCATTCTCATTGCTGGACATACCTTATTGAAATGGTTAATCATTGGGACTCTGCAATAGTTGGAGAATGAACAAGTTAGTGGTATGCGAGTAAACAACTCCCAAATAAAATGTATGTCCAGCCAGTAACAACAAAAATGCTATTACAAGCTTTAACAGTAGACAGTCAACCTAGTTTTTCTTTCTTTTCAATCTAGTAATTTCTTTTGGTTGACTAAAGTTAAGCCATATTAAAGAGTCTTGTCTATATAAGTGACAATATTCATCTAAAGCTGAGAAGAAGAAAAAATAATGATTTCATGGTACAGAAAGTAAATATCATCCATGTAAATGAAAAAGAAGTGTTAAAAAAAAAAAAAAAAAACCTTTTAAGGTTACTTACATTTGGTATCCTTGTCTTTGTCATTAATGTTTAGCTTTTGTGTCATCCAGCCTTCTTCAGAGAATTTCAAACTGGATCCTTTATTTAATCTGAGTGGGGCGGGGGGTTCGATTGTTCTCAGGATATCTTTTCTAGCTCTTATTTAGTATTGTACAGTTATTACTCACTCTGTTTCTACAGTCTAAGTCTGTAATACCTGGCCCAGGAATTGAAGTCGCAATTACTGTGTCACTAAATTCATAGGCCAACACTTTAATCCACTAGGGACAATCTAGAACCTTTTTGAATCTATGTTGGAGGCACAACAGCTGAAATGTTAACACTGATGAGGATATTAGTTTGAATACAAATAATTCATCACAGAAACCCTTAATGTTGCAGAATCAGAATGTTTTTTTTTTTTTTTTTTTTTTTTTCTACATTTAAATCAAATAACTTTTTCATTTGAGTCTTAAGTTTTAAAATTGCAATATGAGCACGGGTAAAAATGGTTGCTGAAGACATTAAGTTTATAAGTCCCAGAAATTCATACACAGATTTCTTCAACAACTCATGGCACAGTGGATAAGTGTTTGTTAGATCCAGTGACAGGTCCCAAAGAGTGTGAGTTCAATACCTGGTTAAGGCAGTGGAGAATTTGGAGAAGGGTATTAACAGGAGCTAGCTGACATCCATTAGACATGGCACGTGGAACTAGAACAGTCTACTCCAGTGAGCAAAATAAAGGGTTCAGTTTGACATTCCAACCACCTGAAGAAGGCCGGAGTGTCTAAATATGGCAACAATGTAAATAGTGTACAAAATTCATTCTGTCATAAAATAATTATATTTAGAAAAACTCTTAAAATCTGTAAACAAAAATCTTACCTAAAGATTTATTATCAAAGGAAAGTAACTTATATGAATTATTTTATTAAGTTGGGTGGAATTTAAATTTAGTCAGAATTGACCTGAAAGTAATTTCAATGAAAGTGTTAGGGTTTTTCTTTCTTTCTTTCATTTAATTTAAAAATTTAATTATTTGGCAACCAAGCTAAAAGCAATTTGTACATGATCATCCTTTTTATTGAAATTGCTTTTTAAACTTTTGGTATTTATACAGGGTGTGGCAGAAATCCATCCCACATAATTATAAGACATTAGCTAGATGAAGACACCATTGCCACTAATGTCTTACCTTTATGGGGGAGGTATTTCTGCCACACTCTTTATATATTTATTATATCTTAAGATTGCATAAAAGCTTATAAAAAATATATATACGTTTTTACTTAACTGCATATTTCATAATTATCCTGTGCACAATTTTGGTGACATTGATGAAAGTAATAATTGACAGATTTAAGAGATATGACAAAACTTTCAATTGTGAATGCTCAGAGGTGACACTGGCCTGTTAATAAACTTGTCCACTGTAATTGATATTCGTTTTTAGCCTAAAGCTAATATAAAGATGCTTTCCATGTTTAAATATATTCTCAAGGTTTCTTGAACATCCACAGACGACTTGTTAAAGGATTTTACTCAATACTCAACTAATAAACTTTTCTGTTATTTAAAATGGATGCTATACCTACTGATTGTTTCACAAAAGTGGTTTTTGCCAAAGTTTTTTTTAATTTTTTTTTTTATTCCTGTTAATGTATTACTGACATAATGGGAAAATTCCATAAAGTTTAAATTATAGATGACTGATATATCTTTGGAAAGGCATGAACCCAACTTTGTCTGTGCTGTTCTATTGTATGTTGTCTTAAATAGTCCTGATCCTTGTTTACCACACAAGCAGATAAGCTAATGTACTTTAATTCATCATAAATACACAGGCCTTGAATGTGGATCCTGTAGAAAAATAACTTGCTAGATAATTAATTAAGCCAGCGTTGAGTTAAATCCTCTTTAAATATCTATTTATTGTGACTGGAGTGGGGTTAACTTTGTCAAAATCAACAGAAGTTGAGATCACTAAATGCAGACTGACATCATAAAATAAAAGTCACTGCACAACACTTTTTTTTTTTTTTTTTTTTTTTTTTTTTTGCGTACAGAGCTTTGGTAATACTTATCAGTGTTCTAGTAGTATCTGTAAATAAATTTGCCCTGCTAAACTTAGCTGAGAAAATACAGTAAATTCATGATTTCATAAAATCCACAATTTTCCAGCCATTTAAATGTAACACTTTTACTTCTTTTTTTACATTTGCTTCTCCCTCTATCTCTCGACAATTTGGGTATTGAAAGTGACACAAAATAAAAAGGCTTTTGTACTAATTGTATTGTCTGAGCGACGTAACAGCTTCATTATTTTTCTCATGGTTATTGTCCATTATTTTCCGTGTTTTGTATCAAGAAATTTAAGTATACCGTGAGGACTCCGTAGCACAGACCAGATTTGTGAGACAAACATCCACCTGTCAAAAAAAAAAATAAAAAAAAAAACATGAAATATGTTGCTTAAACAAAAATTATTCTTATTCAGATGCAAAAAGGATGATTGAATATTGGGATTAAATGCGATTTCTTTATAAAATATAACTGTCTCAATTTATTATTGATATGTCAATTTTCTTCTTCATTTTTCCCTTTTTGGCATACAATCATATGTTGAAACACTGGTTCTACTATGATCACTGGTTAAGCAATGTTAAGCCTGGTCATTATCTAGATGGGTGACCACTTGGGGAAAACCATCTGCTGTAAGCTTGGATATGAGTATGCTCTAATAGATAACAGCTTGGAACTGGAAATCGAAGAGCCAAGTTCCAATTCCAGTGAGGTTCATTATATTCACAAGCAAAAATATCTTTGGGAAAGGTATGAATTCACCTATTCTCCACTCAGCTTGGGATTAATTAGTAAGACTTTTATCCGTAAATCATTATCCCCCCACACACATGCACACCAAATTATTACAACCTAAAAATATTTTCTGGTTTTAAATAACCTGCATCAGGTTGATAAGCCATAAAAAACTGTTTCCCTTTTTAGTCAGTGTGTGCAAAAATTTTGCTTGATCGAAAAGTGAAAAGCAATGATCTGAAAGAGAAACTGTTTTAGAATGAAAAGAGTGTAGTATATATCTTAAAACAAAATTCACCTCACAAAATGTTCCATCCATGACATTGGACAAGTGGTGTATAACAAGTAATTGAGTTAATCTGTTAACTGTCCGATAAGTGATAAAAGTAATCAAATCTATTTAGACTAATTTGAACTAACAGCTGTAGTAGCCTCTGAATTATAGAGATAAGAGTGATCAGCTTAAACAGTTAACATAGCTCTCTTTTTCCTTGCCTAAGAAGGTTTGTCATGCAACTTGGAGAAGCCAACTGAAAAGATTATATTGGTCTTGATAATCATCAAGTAAAATTTTGGGCAAGGCTAAGTATGTCCATTTTTTAAGTAAAATAAAACAAATATTTCACTCGCGGTCAAATCAGTCTTGTTTATTTCTTGCAAATCTATGAAGAAAGAATGATTTTCCCTGTCATGGTGTCAATGGAAAAACCGTCCATTTGACACTGTGTTTGCTGTACAATCAATATTTTTTTCCAATGATTTCCCACCAAAAGCGTCCACTAGATCTAAACTCGAAGCTGCTTCATAAAACTTCTCTTTTTTTTTCTTCTTTTTTACAAGCATCGAAATAAAGTTCTATCAATATTTTTTCTTTTTGGCCAGAAGACTTCATGAAGTTCAGCTTAGTTTTAAACGATTCTACAGAAAAATGCTGAGAATACTAAGGAAATAACATGAGCAACAACGAAGTTTTAGAAAAAATAGAAACAAAAAGATAACTTATACTTAACATCAGGAAGAAGCAGTTGAAATTTCTGGGGCACGTAATGAGGAAAAAGGGCTTGGAAAAACTGATACTCACAAGACAAAAACTGCATAACATACTTGATGAGCTTGAGCAAATGGATGATAGAACAAAATTTTGGGGAAATAGTAAAAGGACAAACTTATTAAGAGCTACAAGGAAGATGTGGAGGGTCCTGATCGTCTATGTTCGGAAGGGACACGGCACAGAAGAAGAAATAAGGTTTAGGAACAATGTTTTTCATTCTTTTACTCTTCCATTCCTTCTCTATCTACCCACGTCAAACGTTATCAAGAATGCTGTTCTTTGGGGCAACACATTCATAATTCTTAGGAAACTTAAGATCAAGTTAATTTCTTGCTCGTCTGTCAAATCCAGCTTTCCTGAGAAAGATAAAACTAAATTAATATAACTTTTCCGAACTGTGAGCAGTTCTGAACGCAATACAGGTGAGCCATTTTGTTCACAAGTAAATGAGTCAAACTTCGCAGCAAAAAGAAATGCAAATACTCATATTCCTCGCATAGTGCGTGGAGTGCTAATGTCGAAAACGTCAGAAAAATAGAAGGCAACGTTCATTATTATCGATATCGTTAGCTTTAATCAAGAGAAGTGCGCCAGCTTCCTTTGGAATGAAACATACAGCAACGATAATAAGTCAATTTTGTTATGACGCTTTAAAATTGAAGTTTTAGTGGAAAACGCATCAAACTTACCGCTCATATATTTTTCTCGTAAAAGTTTTCGCATCGTAGAAGAAGATCTGAAAAAATAAATTAAAATTAAATATGATATTTAAGTAAATTCTTTCCTGTATGGTTATTTACTAAGCTTACTGTCTGAAACAAATTCATACTAGGTGGCTCCAATAGCAATACACTAATGAATTGGTTTGCGACACAAGCTATGTTATAGTAGTCGCCTTTTTTTCATAAAAGCCAATGTCACAACAGAAAATTATACTGAGAGGTGCCGGCCCTGGGGAACAGCTGCCTGAGGCCGCGCCTTTTCATTGCACTAGAGAGAAGGATCGATGCACGCACCGAAGCCAGCGCAACCGACGGTTACGGGGTCTCGGGGAATTTTTGTTCCTTGCCCGGGTGTACGCGCTCGGGTCCCCACATTAAACTGACCATGTATCACAACCTGACCTTGTGGGGGGGTTGAGTAAATATCTAATCATTATTTACACTCGGACTGTTATCTCCATCTTTGTTTTTATCATAACGTTTCTGTCGTTTCGCCCTCCGGCTTTCACCAGGGGATTGTCGATCTGGGTTATTTTTTCATACTAAAAACAAATACAGGGTGTTCATAAAGTTCGTGTGCACTTTAAAAAAATTATAACTTTATTTGTAATTGCGATATAAATAATCTGTAAAAAGCGTTATAAAGTTTAATGTACCTAGTTTTAAGTATAGCTAAAATAACTAATGTGATTTCAGGCATTACTGTAAATCAGTTGGCAAATGTTTTCCGTGAACTGCAAAATTGCATTACCCTTTGGTGGAAACTTAAATAAAATTTAAACAAAACCTTAAAAATATATAGATTTACTTCTTTCTAATACTTTTTGCAAATTATATCTATCGCAAATACAAATAAAATTATAATTTTTTAAAGTGCACACGAACTTTATGGACACCCTGTATGTAACATGAAGTGAACTCTACCCTGATTCGAACCTCTGAGCTGAAAATAAGCAGATATGCCAGCTTTGGAATAATAACACATTTATATAAAATGTAATTATTTCTAGGATTCCTTCTCATAAGAAAAGACCGTCCCCAATCGATCGCGTCTAAACAACAGCGGATCGAGGATGTCAAGTAGCATTGTTTGAAAATTGCCACATTTTTTTAACATCATTAAAATTACCTATTCTCATGACAGCAAGACGCAAAAAATGCAAGTGAAATTTCGTAAAGCTCTGATTTAAAAACTATTAAAGATAAGATCTAATATTTGGGATTTATCTATAAATTTGATCAAAGAATTTTCCTATATTTTTTGAGGGGGTCACCTGTGGCCGTTAAGCAAGTAATAGAAAATGCGGTATGTCGACCAAAGTTTTCACAAATGGATGCCTGCTCGAGTCTGTACTGGTGGTTCTGGGCTGAACGCGTTTGATGTTTCAGTGGGAAGTTTAACAGGGATCTGTTCTAATCCCGCCTATCTTTTGTTTTTATCTCCTGGCCACTGTGAGCTGAATACTGGTGACTGAATTGTCAACAATTACCGACTGGATGGCAATTTATTCAATACCAGAAAAAAGACAAGCACATCTTATATCTTTGGTCTACAGTATGCAGACGATACAGCATATCCGACTCCGTTCGACCTATTTCGTCAACGAAACACTGACATTAGTATTCACTCCTACACAATGGGATTTTACGTCAAACGGAAGTTTTAATCTTTCTGACACTCCAAACGGAGAAGCAATCCCAACATTCACGGTTGGAAACCTAGAACCTAAGCACGTGACCTCTTTGAGGTAACATGGCAGCATTCTTTGCATCTGATGATATCTTGAAAGTGAGATGCCAAATCGAATAAGACTCGCCTCAGCTAGTTTTCATTGATTGAAATTCTATTTCTTAACAGAGATCTGAATATACAGACAAGAGGCAATGTGTATAGAGTGGTGTGAATTTCAATTTTCCTTTATGATACAGATACACGGAATCGTCTGCAGAACTCAAGTTAGGAGACTGGAGGTTTTCACATCCGCTGTCTCCAGAGGGTTCTTGGAATCACAGGTCCCTTGTGTGATTATGATAATATAATGCAAATATAATCAACAGTGATTACATCATATCTGTTAGAGTAGCCGGTAATATGATTAGGGTGTTGCAAGATGGTCTTGCATACTAGAACTTAAATGAAGAGTTATGGAATGGCGGCTGGTCTGTCGGAGTTCAAAAAAAAAAAAAAAAAAGATTCAAAAGTCAAAGCAACGCTTATGTTTACAGCGTGATGCCCAATCAAATGAAACATCTGACCATTGTTCGACTAATCTGGTGCTTGATAATCTACCAGGCTGCGGAGATTTTTTTTCATCTGGCCGCACTTTAGTCAGGAATTATCAACCTGTTAGTAGACATGAAAAACTAACCCGTATTCCTGTAAGTCTTAGTGACGGCATATCATATCCAACGTGATTCATCTACGCGTTCACCAGCGACAACACCTAGGATTAAATGAACGGGAATACTATAGAAAATTTCTACAAAATGTACGGACGCCATTTTTGACACTGACACAAAACCTTCAGCAAATAAATAAATAAATAAAATAAAAAATGGATCACTGATATTTCTTTCTTCCGTTTTTCAAATAATATTGATGTTTTAAACTCATTTAAAACAACGAAAGTTAAATTTAAACGTTAAATTTTTGTTACATTTTATTTTAATTATACGGCTATAGAAAACATATTGTTCGTATGCATTTAAAGTGTTACCGTTCTGCGGTAATAATGTAATAATAACATTATTACCGTTCTGCGGTAATAATTATCAATAATAATAATAAAACTATTCCTAGTGACCATTAGATGTTGAAGAACGTGCCTCCGTCAAATTAACGTTGGTTAATCAAGTGGTAAACGTGAGAATCTTTTCTTAAACATTATTTCTGGTGGCAGTTGTTATTTCAATATCTTTGTTAAAATTAACTCTTTTAGTTATAATAATTGGGAGTTTTGTTCCAGTAAGGTCAAAGAAATTGAAAAGCTAAAACATTACACCGACCTCTGGATTGAGGCTGCCAGAATGTGGGACCATTCAGGCCGCTATTGTTCCAGTTATCATTGGGGTCTATATCACTGACCCATTGCATTTATAAACTCAGAAATAAACCTCGTATTCCATCGCTTCAGAAGTCTGTGTTGCTTTGCACTGCAAATATTCTGCGAAAGGCGTTATATATTTGATGTCGTGCGACTTGATGGAGATCAACCATAATGCAAGATCTCAAGTTGAAAACGAAAAATCGGACTGAAGAAGAGAAAAAAACGAATATAACCCTTTCAGAAATTACGAAAAACAAACTTGAATTATTTTACATAACAACATCTGTTTTTCGTTTTTTTTTTCAAAAGTATATACAGTAATAGCAGTGTCAAAGGAATAACTTTCCTTTTGACATAATCGTTTTTTTTTCCGGCACGAAAGTTAAACATTGCCGATTAACGATGCTAAACAGTATAAAGATCCACAATTCAACACAGACCAAAAGTGATCAGGTACTTAGTCAGGATGAAACTGGCATCGGTCTACAGAAGATTTTGTTACGCTCATCTTACAAGTGAGGAGATGCTCATCTTGGAAATCAGCATTGGAATCCTGATTCGAAAAACGACCACTGATTTCAGTGAGAAATGCACATTGGTCTTAACAAGCTCGGATATTGTATGCGTGTATAAAAGCTATATACACACTGATTCATTGCTGTTCTAACAAACTCATTATTTGTCTAACAGAAGACTCAGACATAATATTTCCGTTAGATTAATCTATTATGTTGTTAGGAAAATAATGTTCGACTTGAGAATAAACCTTTTAATTGTGTTACCGCTAGTAACCTTGTGTAGATCTTGAGTTTTAATTGAATGAACATTAATAATAATAATAATAATAATAATAATATATATATATATATATATATATATATATATATATATATATATATATATATATATATATATATACTAGCAGCATGGCTTGGCGTTGCCCGTGCTTGATTCAAAAAATCGTACGACTCATACAGTATCGATATCACTTGACTTAAAATATTTTTGCCAAGTGATATTTAGCTTATCAGACGATATAAAAAGAATTTACATAAAATAAATAGACAAAACTTGTCTATATTATTTAATGAAACATGCATCAATGAAAAAATGCTGCCTAAATACACACAATATATATATATATATATATATATATATATAATAAATCAAGGGATTTGCTTATTTCGAGCTGAACTATTAGGCATCTTCAAGGATTTTGCTATACTACTGCAATAAATGATTAATAAAGTGTTATTGTAGATAGTATGAAAATTGCTGAAAGTAGATATATTCTCAATTTCTAAATAGGGTCAGTACATTTGTCATTCTTGTTCAATGAAGTATATATATATATATATATATATATATATATATATATATATATATATATATATATATATATATAAAGAACAGTAAGATATATAATCCGGTGTTCTTATAGATATTTTTATTTTTACAAAATAGTGCTCAATGTAAATTTACAGAGCATTAATATTACAAATTAATTGATTTAAAATATGTTTTTTTTCGCTACACAGTTCTAACCATTTTCAGAAATGAAAGCTAAAAGCTTCGAATTTAATTTGACCAGTACATGTTCAGCTGGAAACTTTATACGGCGTGGAATAGAGTACAATCTGGTGAAAAATAAGTTACCTTTTATATTTGCTTGTTTCTAAAGGTGGAATCTCAGCAAAGCACCCACTCGGGTCTTGCCACGACATGATCATTTTCATCCAATCAGTTCGTAAGAAGTCTAAATAGCCAAGGGGAGCACATAGAAGACCTGAAAGAAAGAGCAATTGGCTGTTAGACTGGAGAGAATTTAATAATGAAAGCAATAATCACGCAAAGGATTAACTAACATATCTTTATGATTACAACTTGGATAAATGCTTTAATGTGTCAGCGAATTGCTGACCAATAGCAACGGTGCTTTGAATACATAAAAGTATGATACTATGGACACACACATAAATAGGAAAGAGATAGTTTTTATCCTGATCTCAAGCGTAGTTCCTTTTGAAATTTGGTCTTTTAAGCGACATCCACTTTAATCAAAGGGTAATGGGAAGAGTTTTGAATGAGGGATTGTCAGGGATCAATTTGCAACAAAACCGGAAACAGGTTATATATGGGCGCTGGTCTATATTAAGCTAATATTAAGTCATGCTTAGGATCGGTGAGAATGCTTGTCCGCCTTTGGAGGGAGAAGGACGTGCCTTCATTACATATTGCCATCCAACATGTCGAGATGAATAGATGGGGGAGGAGTTGATAGGGAGAAGAGCAAACTGAGCAGAAGTCTTCCCAAGTATCAACGGACGTGTAGGCGAAGTCCTGAAAAAACAATCCTGCATATAATATGGAGAACAGAGTTCGCGTTCTTCTTTCTCAACCTGGCTTTTCTTTCATCGTGTTACCTTGTGAGCATACACCGCGCTCTTCCGCCGGCTTTCGCTGAACACTGACGAGATCGAGGATTGAAATGCAAAGTAGGGAAGCATTGGCCAGTTGGTGGAAAGCTTAGGCGAGGGTTGCGTTGCATCTTTACAAAAGGAAATATTGGCTTTTCTCATCCTCTTCATCACGTTAGGATTTCTCTTTGATATTTCTCCTAAATTTAGCATACGGCACAAAGCTACAAGTCTATGGCAACAGGTAAGAATCGAACTTGTAATGTTATGTCAGAAGTACCTGATAAGAATACGAAACTAAATATTTTCGTATGTAAAACAATCGTTTATTGACTTCTGGATTCTGTCAAATTGACATCGTTCAATCAAGTGGTAAGAGATTTCGGGCCTTTCTTCAAACGTTCGTTCTGCTTCTTGTGTGGATGCAAGGGATTCAGGTTTCTCTCTCGTAGGTCAGGCGTTTATAATACTTCCTGTCATCCAGTTGTTTTGTGTGTGTATATCTTAAGTTCAGTTGGGTTCAGTTCCTGTTTACATTGGTGCACCCATTTGAGGCCCGATTCTGCACTTGGTGGATATGAATGTACCTTCTAGATCTGTCCTCAATGTTCTTTTGATGTTCTGTTTTGACACCTAGTACAAAGCTTACTTTGTTAGAATGAACCTAGTACATATTGGGGTCACCCCAGATCAACTGTTGGATGAAAGGTTCTTGACGGACATTAAATTCGATTCAGAATAGTGGTTTATTACATACTACAAACTGACTACAGTAGTGATGGTCTCCACAATTAGTTTTTTTTTGTTTTTGTTTTTGTTTTTTTTTTTTTTTTACTAATGCTCCATAGGAAGATGTCGCACTATATATATATATATATATATATATATATATATATATATATATATATAATTTAATGAAAACAGACAACTTTAAAGGTTCATGGTTATAATTTATTTCCCCAGGGAATTTTTTTTATCCCTGGCTTGTGGTCTGATGAATCAGGGATAAAAAAAATTCCCTGTGGAAATAAATAATAACCATGGACCCTTAAAGTTGTCTGTTTTCATTAAATTAATCGCTCTGATTTAACATTGAGCTCTCCGGATTTCATTCTCTTTGCGATTATCCATACGGATTACCAAGATTTTCATTTTATATATATATATATATATATATATATATATATATATATATAGAGAGAGAGAGAGAGAGAGAGAGATTTACCAAGTTTAACTTTGTCACAGGTATATAAGCATTAGAATCCCAATGAAGATTGAACTTACTGCAAAAATAATGGTCTGTGAGATTTACTTTTTAGCCATTAATCCATAGCAACGCACATCGCCTTATCATTTAATGCTATATGCCTTCAGGACGTAGGCGATAATAACTTTCCATATGCTTGTTTTTTATTCATATTTCTTTATTTTCAAATATTTTGGGAAAAGATAATGAAATAGTTTCCTGTTACCTTCACAGCGATTTTAAACTTAGAGTAACCCTTCTAGATTGGCTGCTACCCTAGCATACAGAACTTAATCTGCCCTGCTATTTAACCTAGTTTTAAGCTGGTGATGTAGAAAAGATAGATTCATGCCTTTCCCGAGAGCATTAGTGCGAAGTGAACGTAACAACAGACAAGCCGATAACATTTATATTTATATGCGCACATATAATGGCATCTGCGATTAGGTTTCAAGCAATACCATCGCTCAAATATGAGCAGCGCGGATGTGGCTTTTTTAGTCTCGCTAGAATCTAACATTCTCTTGCACAGATGTGTCAACGTTGGACGTCTTTTGAAAGTAGTGGTTACATTAATATTTGGGTTAACTTCCGAATGTTTTTTTTTTTTTTCATTGCCAACTGAAGCAGATTCTTTTTTACACTTTCCACAAGTAGAAATGCCGTATAACGTGTCGTGAATGACTTTTGTCTGTTTGGGGCGTCTTTCATGATTTTTGAATTTCGCTCGACTTAAGCAGACGCGAACACATTCATTATACGTTAGAACAAATTCTGTGACATATATTAGAATGCATACCTGCACAGAGGCATATATATATATATATATATATATATATATATATATATATATATATATATATATATATATATATGGGGTTCAGGCGTATATACCAGGACTTTGAGCCAAGCTCAAAAAAGAGCTCACACAAAATCGGGAGTTACAAGTGCTTTTTCAAAAACAGGTGTGCATTTGTTAGGTAATTCAATATTTGCGTTCATATTCGTAACATCATTTTGCATCATTTTAGACTTCTGGTTGATAGTTTGCTGAAGTGGTTGCGTTTTTTAAAGGAGTCCATTCCCACCGCCTATAGCTGCACAAGTTATAACAGCTAGATTGCTTCCCCCACCCTCGCTACCGATAGAGCAAATGCCATCAAAAGTCTTTAGAGGATGCCGCCTTAAATGAATATGACGGTCTGAATACTGTCTCCATCTTCTGGATTAAAGGCAGGTAGTAAGATTTCAAAAGTTTCACCCTATGTTACGGTGGACATTGTGTACCGGCCGAATAAAAGGTAGGCGTCCAATCTCTGACATTTTGACTATTATTTTTATCGATTTGCAACTGTCATTTTATTTCTGCCTCCATCAAATAGCCTTTTCTTTTTAATGTCTTTCTCTATGGTCTAGCTTATCAGAAGAATAATTTCGATGGACAACACTATTTAGTTCTTTTCTTAAACATATTATTTGTAGTGACAGTTGTTCTTTCAATATCTTTGCTAAAATTAACACTTTTAGTTATGATAATTGGGAGTTTTGTCCTGTCGTGATTACTGCACCAAATATAACACGGGAGAAGGGTTTGTCTTGTGGTCGCTGCCCCAAATATAACACTGGAGCGGAATCCAAATATAACGTGTAGTGTGGTCACGTCATTGTATGTTTATGTTGTGGACTGATTTCGCAGTGGAGGCTTGTATTTGTACTAAATCGGTCCTAAAATAGGTTCGACGTACAAAACGTTAGGAACTTGATATAATAGCTATTACGCAGAGTAATCTAGTTGTGGTCGCTGATACTTTCGTATTCTATTAACTGTCGTCCGACATCGACCGACTGACTGACCGACTCATTGACCAACCGACTGACTCCCGTTTCTATTACTACTCCTACTTATATTAGGTGGGAGAGTCTATTAACTATAGAATAGGGGTGTTTCACCATAACAGTTTAACGTAAACTTTAACCGGTAATCACGATCTCCAGTAATATAGTTTGGTGAAGGACGCGTGAACTGGGCGTGGCTATTTCCGTCATTCGTCTCCATCACCGGACCTGTATCGTCTCGTGGAAACCTTCCATTGCGTTGTGTACCTGTCAGGATGAACTATGCGATGTGTCTGTTTAATTTGGCTTTATGGTTCAGGCGACGTTTCGATCAGAGCGACTTTCTTAATTCAGCTAACCTTTCTGAAAGGTGGTAAACTCTGGCATAGGGGTGGCCAAACTTGCTTAATGTAAGAGACACATACGATAAAGTTAAGATGTTTGAGAGCCGCACTCACTACGCCGGCACACCCAAATCTTTATCCCCTTACTCATGACCTCAGCCTTCTGGCATTCCTCTGTAAACATTGCTGACCATAAATTTCTTTAATCCCTCTGCCTCCCGCTATCCCTCCCCCTCAGTACTAAAGAACAATGTTTCATTCAGATCTAGTATTAGAATTAGGATTTAAATTTTTAAATATTTTTACTGACCATGAATATTAAACTTGCGTTTTAATCCAATGGGGTCACAATTCATACCCAGTAAATAATTATAAAGCTTGAAATTTTCTTATTTACTTTTTATATTAACTGTGATGAAAAAAAGAAGCTCCGTCCACATATTTCCACGAGCCGCATATTAAAGGTCAGAGAGCCGCACATGGCTCGCTAGTCGCAGTTTGATCACCCCTGCTCTCGCAGAAAGAACAAAGTTTGATGATGAAGCTGTCAACATTTTATTAATGAAGAGAATAAATGTTGCAACACTCATGCTGTTCGACTTCAGTAGATTCTTTTCTTCCCTTGCTGCATTGAGAGATATTCAACGGATGAAATGCAGGTGTGCTGTCAACTTGATTGCTGCTAGAATTTTGACGAAAACAGATGGCAGAATCGTCTCTTGACTACCAAGCGTGAATGAATGCTAAGCGCGAATAGCTGCCCAGCGTGAACTGAGTAAAATTGAGCTTATAATGATGACGGTGCGAACTGGGTCTTTGATTAAGCAGCCATACAAAGTCCCTTTTTGTTAAACAAAGAACTTCCTATTAGCATTGCATGTGGCCAATGCTTCTAAAGTACTGAATACCAGGCATTTTACTAATCTTTCTATGCACATTTGCCAGATAGGTTTTTAAAATAACATTTCCAAATTCTGCCTGGGTTTTGCATAATGTTGGCAAACACATTAATCACGTCATCACGACTTTCTTGACGCTGTGTGTCTAGGTCGGGAATTTCAGTTATACTGGATTTTACTGAATATTACTTGGTTAATTTTAGGTTCAAATCTTCCCGATGTTTTCCTCACAAGTATTTTATAGGTTCAAATTAATATTTGTAAACATATTTTTTTGCATCAGGTTTCAGTCCGATTAACCACTCTCATATTTTTCGGCATCTAATATCACTTTTCTTTCGCTCATGATTACTAAGTCTCTCAATACCTCAAATCACCAAAGTATAGTTCGAGCATTAATATGGCTCAATCAGGACCGCTGTCCTATTACACTAACAAGATAATACAGGAATATGGGTCCAGATTATCGTGATAGATATCCCCACTCCCACACGATAACTATGTCTATTGACAAGGATTATTTCAGGTGCATAAAGTGGTTCCAATAATCGATACGTACTTTGTTCAGCGAAAAGATCCTGATGATCTGTGTCTACTTTTCCATTTTTTTCTAACATTTTGGCTTCTTGGTAAATCCGACGGCAAAGATTTCGCTGGATATCTCGGATAGTCGGCCGTTCAGCGAAACGTTGCAAGTTTCCAGAACCTTCGCATCCAATCTGGAAAATTAATTAAATACGATAATAAAGAAAAGCTTCAAAAGACGAGACGATAAAAGAAAAAGTATAGTTTAATAAGAGAGAGAAACTGTTCTATACACTTATCAAGGTTCATATATTTACGAATTCATATACGTTTCAGTGAAAAAAAAGGGATAAAAATAACTCCGCTACCCTTAATGATCATTTTATTACCATGTTTTGTATTTTAATTTATTTTCAATTCGCTTCCGGGTTTCAGCCTTTTCTCCGCATTTCCGGTCTTTTGACGAGAAGCGAAAAAGAAGAGGAATACATCCTGGAGGAACAAAGTATTCTCCATTAGACCAAAAGGGTGAAGCTCAGGATCCAACCCTCATGCTTTTTAGCTCCTTTAATTCCCTTCATTTCTCTCCCCTAGAGGACACATTCTTCATTTCAGAGGACACATTCACAATGTAAACTTTCTTAGAAGATAACGTCTCCCCACTTGTGGGAAGACGCCGTGAACATTAAACACACATACACGTACGTACGAACATTCACCAAAATACGAACATTCAGCAAAGAACAGACACAAACATTCACACAAATATTATTGTCTATGTCCATTGTAAAATTGTGTTGTTTAATACATATATTTGTTTTTATATATATATATATATATATATCGGTCTTGTTTGTCTTTTTTATCTTCGGTTGGCCACAACTAGAGTCTGCCATTTTTTTGTTGCTAGACCTTCTTCTAGCAGGAAAAATAAACGCATGTGTTTTCTTTTCATCTTCACCCCCCCGGTCCTCTACAGACGTATCAAAAAGGTAAGTGTAGTGTTTTGGTCACTACCCACATGTACACATCATTGAACCACTTTAAAATCGGATTTGTGACACAGTTTAATCAAACTGGGAGGCGGATAACTAACGATCACTGAATTAAGATCTGAGAATTGCGATAAAAGCAATAGAAATAAAATGGAAGCAGTACTATTCAAAAAAAGGATGCTTACTGATAATGCTTCATCGATGACATTCGAAATATTGCTCCCGCCATCATTTTAAGAAGAAAGCAAACGTAATTCTCATTAAAATATAATCCTCTTTTCCTGTATACTTTCTTTGAATATTTTCTTAAACTCTGCCTTTTTTCTGCATTGGTTAACAATATTAACTTTATAAAGAACATATGTCAATCTTTTTCTCTGGTTCACTTGGTGAAGCTTAAAGAGGAATACAGCAGTGTCAAGATCTTGCTAGATGCCTTAAAATACGAAGAGTGCCATTGGGAAGCTATCGGAGACAACAAAATGGTGACCCTCCTGATGGGTCCAAGGTGGTTTTACCAAGTTACCGTGTTATCTTTGTTTTTGGGACAGCAGGGACCCTACGGGATACTACTACAGGTGGGACTGGTCCCAATGAACCGAGGTCAGTGTGGGAAGTAACAAAGCCAAATGGGAGCCACTGTTGGACCTCGGAAAATATTCTTTCCTCTACTGCACTTATATACTGAGCCTTATGAAACTGTGACACAGCTCTAGATAAGGAGTCTACATCCTTCAAGTACCTTCAAGACTTTTTCTCTAAGCTGTCTGCAGCAAAAGTCAAAGCCGGTGTCACAAATAAAGGTCATAGAGTGCAAGGAATTACCGAAGAAGCTCGGTAGGACGGAGAAAGCAGCGTGGAACAGCTTTGCCGCAGTGGTTCGGAACTTCCTGGAGAATCACAAAGTTATATGACAGGGTTTGGCATGCTGAAAACCATTTGTGACCTTGGTGAAGAACTACGGCAAAATGGGCTGCAGGATGTCCTTCATGTTCATCTCCATAAATTCAAGGAGAACATGGGGGGGGGGGCATACTCAGAGGAGCAACGCGAGTGCTTCCACCAGGATATACTGGACTTTAAACGCCGCTACTAAGGATTATATAACGAAATGATTGGAGACTGTATTTGGTGGTTGATTCGTGAAAGTAATTTACAGTATAAGCATAAATCACGAAAAACTACTCACTTCTAAATTTTTTTGTGGTCTCACTTGTCTAATTTTAGAATAAATAAATGCTACTTTTGAATCGTATGTCGTTTTGTTTCTATTTTGCGTGAACGAGAATGTTCGCATTCACCAGTTTTCCCAGTGGAAATAGGTAACTGTTTATATTTCTGAGATGAGGTATTATGTACACTATTTACATTATTCGGACTATTGTCCTTATCTTTGTCGCCATATTTATTACAACGTTTCGGCCCTTTAGTATCTGTCTATATTTCTGAGATGAGGTATTATGTACACTATTTACATTATTCGGACTATTATCCTCCTCTTTGTCGCCATATTTATTACAACGTTTCAGCCGTTGTACGCTCCGGCCTTCTTCAGGTAGTTAGAATGTCGAACTGGACCCTTTATTTCGCTCACTGGTCCTCAAGGACACATGGCACAGTGGATAAAGGCGTTAGTTAGATCCAGTGACAGGACCCAAAGAGTGTGAGTTCAATACCCGGTTATGGCAGTGGAGAACTTAGAGAGGGGAATTAACAGGAGATAACTGACATCCATTAAACATGGCATGTGGAACTAGAACAGTCTACCCCAGTGAGCGAAATAAAGGGTTCAGTTCGACATTCCTGAAGAAGGTCAGAGCGTACAACGGCCGAAACGTTGTAATAAATTTGGCGATAAAGATAAGGACAATAGTCCGAATAATGTAAATAGTGTGCATTTGTTTTGCTTCCATCTTCAAAGCGACAAGACTATAGGTAAATTTAAAAAATATCATGGTCACAAAAGCAAAGTTTGAAGCAAATATTAGCCATTTCTCACACTTTATAGGCGTAAGCAAATAAGAAATAACAGTTGCTGAGTTCATCAAGCTTTAGATAAGAATAGCTAAGCTCGGGCTGTTGTTTTAGATAATCTCGAAAGTATATGACAAGGTTTGGCATGATGGTCTTCTTCACAAGTTGAAAGGTTATAGGATTTCTGGAACATTTTTTTAATTGATTCAATCATTCTTATCAAATCGAGAAATGAAAATTTTCCTGGATGGCCACTTTTTTTTTTTTTTAGATCTTTTTGCATTCATATAGGCTTCTTCCAGGACTGTATCTTTGGTCTGACGTTGTTCCTAATTTTCATCATCGACCATCCTGATGTCATCACATCTCAACTAGTTATCTATGTGTTATGGTCCGGTTCCTTGTACCACGGTGATAGTTCAAGGTAGAACCAATAAAGAAGAACTCGAACACAGGTATGGAATAACACAGATATATTACAAACGGGAATATATACAGAGAAGTAGAAGTGTTAGTATGAACAATCAGGTTTAGTAGAGAGAACAATGTAGTCTCGACCAGTATCACAATTCCAATGTCTTGCAGTAATTATCTGAACGCGACTCTGTTTCGGACTGACTCGACTCTTGACTCGATTTGAACTACTGCCCTCTTGCATACTCCTGAGGCGAAGTATTTATTAAGTATGGAATAGTCCATTATTATTATTATGGGTAAGATCCCATAGCACTATGCTAATGACATAATTATTTACTTTTGTCTCAATAATAAGTCTGATTGGTTCGATAAGGTCAAATTGGCAGCTGATCTAAAAAATAACCTACAATCTGTTGTTAACTGGAGCAAGGAATGACTCCAAAATGAAACTATTCTCTTTTAATAATCTGAAAGAATTTTTTTTTGCCTTCCATCAACTTGGCTGATGCTAACCTCCAGGAGTGAGACACATTGCGCCTTCTCGGGGAAAAAAAGTTTTCCGCTGACATGAAGTTGAAAAATTATATTGAATCAATTGCAAGGTTTGCTGCTTAGAAAGTTGGTTAACTGCGTCGTGATAAACAATTTTTCTCACCAGAATATATCTTACACATTTGTCTACCTTTCATCCATGCATTGAATATTGCTGTCACTGATCGTTCTGCTATGTATTTAGAGATTCTTGATAAAATAAAAAGAAGAATCTGCAATGTTATTGGTCCTGGCCTGGCATCTCGGCTTCAGTTACTTTCCCATCGCCATAACGTAGCTTCCGCGTACTTCACTATAATCAGGGTAATTGTTCTGATGAAATTTCTTCTATTTTACCAAGGGTTTATGAATTTAAGCAAGGTACTAGATTGGAGGCAAGGTCTCATCATTTTACATTTGAAATGGCTAACTGTAACTGTAAGTTCTATGCTAACAGTTTCTTCTCTTGCATGGGCATAGTGAGTAAGCAACAAGGAAGTATTAAAGAAAATGGCAACAAAAGAACAATCTTCTTCTCGCTTATGGAACTCTCTTCCGGTTTCTTGCTTTCCAGCTAAATTTCATTTTCAAAAATGTAAATGTAATGTCAATTGTTATTTTATGTCTTAATTTCTATTCTTTTATTGTTTTCTCCCCTGAATGTTTTCCTCATGTTCTTTCACACTCAGCGGTCTCTTTGCGTTTTAGTGGCTTTATTGTCTTGCTTGGGGTGAAATGATTAAAGAAAAAAATCAAAGTCATCTCTCGATAACGCAACAATAGAAAGACAAAAGAGTAGATAGAAAATGTCTTACCTTTTGAATAAAAATAAAATAAAGTAACTGGTGAGTGATATAATATCCCGAAGCGAAGGGGGACATCATGTACGCTAGACATTTCGTTGTCACTGTGCACTTCGGCAATGTCCTGTAACAAAAAAGAAACAATTCTAATGTCACAAATGATACTACAGCTACGTATATATTATTTCTATTGTATAATAGACGTCTGCTATTCTTTATATAACAGTAGACGTAAAAACGGTAACAGCCTCGGATCCTAATATCGACTCTCAACACGTTTATCAAGAACAGTGTAATATCGATTCTCTCTCTGAAGTGTTACACCCAACATATATTTTTGAAGGGATTTTTTATTCGACATTATTTCTTACTATTATAACCATTATTTTTAGTGGGTACATGTATTTGAGTTGTTATCACTGTTTTTTATATTTTCTTAAACAGTGACATTATACGGTCTGTTGTCCTCATCTTTGTCGCCATATTTATTACAACGTTTCGGCCGTTGTACACTCCGGCCTTCTTCAGGCGGTTGGGATGTCGAACTGAACCCTTTATTTCGCTCACTGGCCACGTGCCATGTTTGGAAAATTCGTATTTCAGTATCTGTCTATATTTCTGAGAAGAGGTATTATGTACATTATTCGGACTATTGTCCTCATCTTTGTCGCCATATGACAACGTTTTGGCTGTTGTATGCTCAGGCCTTCTTCAGGTGGTTGGAATGTCGAACTGAACCCTTTATTTCGCTCACTGGAGTAGGCTGTTCTAGTTCCACGTGCCATGTCTAATGAATGACAGTTGTCAGTTATCTCCTGTTAATTCCCCTCTCCAAGTTCTCCACTGCCTTAACCGGGTATTGAACTCCCACTGTCACTGGATCTAACTGTGCCATGTGTCCTTGAGGACATCTGTGTATGAATTTCTGGGTATTATAAACCTTGTCTTCAGCATCATTTTTTACCAGTGCTCATATTGTAATTTTTGCTATCATCATTTCAGGTTTTTACCAGAGCTCATATTGGAATTTTTGGTGTTATTATCGCTTTTCTCTGGCACTCCTTATTACTGGTTCCCATACTGTATTCAGGTGATAACTGACATCCATTAAACATGGTACGTGGAACTAGAACAGTCTACTCCAGTGAGCGAAATAAAGGGTTCAGTTCAACATTCCAACCATCTGTTGAAGGCCGGAGCGTACAAAGGCCGAAACATTGTAATAAATGTGGCGACAAAGTTGAGAACAATCGTTCGGATAATGTAAATAGTGTACATAATACCTCATCTCAGAAATATAGACAGATACTAATAACAACTGGACTAAATTGAGAAGACCTACCAAAAAAAAAATAACTCCGACAGGAATCGAACCTGCTTCTCTTTTCGCCATCAGGAAAAGCAACTCAAATATGTGTACCACTAAAAATAGGGTTTACATAAGACACAATATATATATATATATATATATATATATATATATATGTATATTAATCGATATCGTGCCTAAGCAAGGCAGTAAAGCCACTAAAAATCAAGGGATTACAGGGTGTGGAAGAATCAGGAACAGAAACATTAATAATAAGCTGAAAAAGAAAAGAGTTATAAGGAGGATAGTAGATAGCGATTGATATTGCATTTAAATTTTTGCAGATTAAAGTTAGCCGGAAAGCATGGAGTCGGAAGGGAGTTCCACAAGCGAGAAGTGCGAGAAAAGAAACTGTTAGCATAGAATTTACGGCGGCATCTAGCCAGTCGAGCAGTAAATTGATGAGATCTCGACGCCAGTCTAGTACTGCGCTTAAATTCATAAAGTCTAGGTACCATAGCGAAGAGCTCATCCAAACAATTCCCATGAAAGCTGAGAGCTGATGTCTTCGAGAAGGTAGTTAATGAAAATTAAAAACAGCATAGGACCAAAAGATTGAGCCCGGCGAGTCACCGGCGTTAATATGAAAGGGTCTAGACCATTCGGGACAACTTTTATTTCACGATTTGATAGGAAAGACTGGATCAGCTCAAAAATGTGTCCGGAGACACCGTAACTTTTCATATATACACACACACACACACGTACGTGTGTGTGTGTGTGTGTGTGTGTGTGTGTGTGTGTGTGTGTGTGATTTTAGTGGATACAATCTCCATATTTTTTCAACGATGAAATTTTTAACCGACCTAGACAACGGAAACTCTTATTAAAGGAAACGTACTTTTTTGCCACAGAGGTCTCTAGAGCAACCTTTACGTCCGGACGATTAACCCACTCCTGTATAAAGGGTAGTGTCCTAGGATAAAGGGAATGCAGGTTCAATCCCTGTTAGTGACATATTTTTCGTTAATGAAACTTCTGTTCTCCAGGCTAATGGGCATTAATTTCAGTCTTAAAAAATGGTGAGAATATACATTCAAATACGTGTATCCACTAACGTAACGCTTGTAGTATTAAAAAATAATATCAGGTTACAATTACTTAAATAAAAGCAAAGAGTCGATGGATTATACTGGAACACGGGAAAGTAGTGCTCAACACTGCTCAATAGTGTTCACGGAACTGCAGTCGTGATCGGTCATAGGTTTTTTAATTGATTTACTTTTTACGGCGTATCAACCTATCGTGGGTTATTTAAAGCATATTTTGGATTGTAAAGCATAATAATTTTTACGAGTAAATATTGCATTAACCATTTTTTTGAGAATAACAATGATTTTTCTAGATACAAGACCTACTATTTAAACCATAATTGAGGGTCAGTCATATGTACACCTGATTACTGTATAATACATATATGAATAAAGACAAAAGGAAAACGTTTCGTTCTCTGATGGACTATTAATTGCCTTGATAATGTACACCAGAATACGAAACACATCGGCTAAGATAAGTTTTCTTTTGTCTTTATTCATATTGACCTTTTACAGATATATTTTAGTTATATCTGAAATTTTATTTAACTGAAACCTCTTGACCGAACGATTGAAATAAGGTTCGTTTACAAAACTCTGGAGTTGGGGTGCTGAATATAACATCAATTATCTAAGTGACAAATTTTCTATTTGTATTAATCTTATATATATATATATATATATATATATATATATATATATATATATATATATGTTTTGTGTGTGTGTGTGTGTGTGTGTGTGTGTGTACATATACGCGTACTTACGTTTTTGGCGTGCGACTATAGTTTCTTTCGCTGGGTGGTGTTCCCAGTTCGTCAGGCACAGGGTCTATGTTGCCACAAAAACGTAGGTACGTGTATATGTACTAACTAATACATATCTTTGCTCTGTCTAACCGCATTGAGCACTATTACGTTTAAACCACATGCATAAATTTAACGATTATTTATTTTTTGTTGCCTGCGTATGCACACAGCACACACGCGTACACACCTGCTTATATTTGGCCGTTTCATTTATCCATTCTACAATTATATATATATATATATATATATATATATATATATATATGTGTGTGTGTGTGTGTGTGTGTGTGTGTGTGTGTGTGTGTGTGTGAAAAATATATAGAAAATAGGAAAGAACTCGTTAGGTAAATAATCCAAAGTTCTTTAGTATTTTTGTTATTATTTTTAAAAAATAGTGCTCGATACAAAAGTAGAGCATAAATATAATTATTTATTTAAAAATATGATTCCAACACGTTACATAAGAGTTCTCATGTTTCAAAACAAGAGCCGAAAACTTCAATATAATTATTTGAATTAAATTGAATTAAAGTAAGCTCTGTTCCATCTTCAAGCGATTTTTTTTATTTTTAAAAGCGGGGAAAGTGAAATAAAAGCGATGGAATGACTGGAGACAAAAAAGTCATAGATCGAGTTTAATTGCTGGTTTGGCCCTCTTGCTCTTTTAAATGTGATTCTCGCTTGATACAGTCTTTAATCTATTTCTTCCCGCAATCGGCCCATCATGTTACGAAAACAAAAACAAAAAAACAAAAAACAAAAAAACAAAAAAACAAAAAAAAAACAAACCCTAACATGTAAGAGTGAAATAAAGCCAATAAGAATTAAAACTGAACACTTTTTAGTTTTCGCCTTTGGTGCTATTACACTTTCGCACCCTCCCCCCCCCCATGACACTGTCAACCACACTCAGAACTTTGTGGATCCCAACACTCGAGTCACCACAAATCGAGTTAAAGCAATGCGGCAGCGTGCCCAGGCTAAATTTAAGTCCATGAATGGCCCCACCAACAGGTGGATGATTTCTGAATACCTGGCGGAATTTATATGAGCTGAAAAGTTTGGTGATTCGCTTTTTTTTTAACTTCTGGCATCAAATTGCCACGAAACTTTATCCGTTGTCACAGGAAAACATGGCGGGGTAGGGGGGCGAAAGTGTAATAGCGCTTTTAGCCTACTAACCAAACATATTTCTATGTTTCAGTGAATGAAATGGAGGAGTTCATTATGGTATAAAAAAAAATTCCAAACGCTTACGTTTTCAGTAGGAGCAAAAAAGAAATATTTTTACATTAAAATGTATTTCTATTCTCAGTTTGATAAAAAAAAAGGGATGGAATCGACTTTATTCTTAGGTACAACAATAAGTACGTCGTCTAACAATGGAAAACCATTTATTCTACACAAATATTTATTTTTCAACAGAATTACCTCCCTTTAATTCACTGGTGAATATTCATCGCATACATAGAAAATGTCAGCTCAGAATCCAGCTAATAATTACGTATCAGCCGAAAGACTTATTGATCAACTCTTATATTTTGTCTAGAGTAGCATGACGCTTTTTAAGTTTTAATATTGGCTATTTTTTTTTTAGCTCAAAACTCTTTCTAAGGACTGAATTTTACGCTAATTACGCAGGAATTACCGTAAAACCTCCACAAAAAAAAATCAGGGATCTGAACTAAGTATTTGAAACCCTTCCTTATACTAAACTCTTTGACCATATTAAGCTTAAATGTCTGAAAGAATTTCAGTGAAAATTTTAGGTAAACCACATCTTTTTTGAAAGTCAAAATGTTTTACTGGATTTTTCTTTTTTAATTCGAAATACGAAAATTTTAAAATTTGATGACTTTGCATTCTTTTTGGAAATCACTCATTGGAATCATCATTCTATATTCAGCAGAAGACATTTGGATAGACAAATCTTTTTAATGTAAGTTTCCTTCTTTTACTTTATATGAAAACTTATTACGTGACCATAAATTTATTCACCTTTTTACAGCAATAAACACAAGCATTGACACCAAACTATGTTGTTGTTAGGATGTAATTTTGTTAACGTTTTTGCCTCCACACATTTCGATCTTGACACTCACTTGAAAAGTCGTAAGAAAATATAAACTTTAAAAGGGCTATAATTTTGGTTTCTGTCAAGGAAATGTTTATGTAGATGTTTATGTAACCGGCCGTTAGTACCGTAGGGTGCTTGAACATCCAACAAAATGCTTTTCCTTAATATTTGAAGAGTAGCTTTTTGAATATCTTTGACCTGTTTTAGTTATATTTCTGTGAATTACAAGCAGTTTCATTTTGTTATTCTTTTTTTTAATGTGCCGTGTCCCTTCAGGACGTAAGCGATTATGACCATCCACATCTTCATGTCTCTTGTAGCTCTTAATAAGTTTTGTCTTGTTATTTCTTCCAAACCCTCAAAATGAACCAATTTTTGCTTATTTGAAACTTACAAATTCATTTTTAATCACCTATTAATTCAAGTTGTCAAAATAAAACACTTTTTTTCATATATGTTATAAAACCAGAAAGAACACCGAAAATAATATATAACAATGGATATGCCATTTTAAATGTTTTTTTTAAAGCCCCGCAGTAGAAATATTATGATAATCTCCCTCACTACCACCAGAAAGCTAATATGAAGAATTAAGAATATAATGATACGATTTAGCTAAACTGATGAATCTAATGAGTACGGTATAGCATTTTACATCGAATTCAAATAACCCCACGTCAAAAACTTGTAAAAGGTTTGGGGCTTTTCAAAACCTGATAGGTAAGTTCTATTAATAACTATAGTTAATATGGCGGCTATAGATAGAACACATGTTGAGTTACGATGAATGAATGAATAAATAAAATATAAATAAATGGTAAATTTAGTAGATATTTATTATATTACACATCTACGACGCTATATGAATCCCCCTTCTCTCTATTTTTGCTGGAACTAAGGACTAAACAGAAGACCTAAATTTAAGATTTTGGTCCTCGATCTATAAAACTTCTCTTTTCGTAACATTATCTTCTAAAAGTTTTATATGAATCTTTTATGCAGGAAAGGTTCATAGGTCTGATATCAGAAAATAAATACAAACGAAAAGCAAAGTAAAACTTAAATTGTTTTAAAACTCAAACAATATTTTCAGAAGGATCATATATGTAAAAAAAAAACAAACAAATAAAATCATTTTATGAAAGGACCAGTTTAAAATGATTAAAAATATTTAAAACTTAATATACCCTCTTTTATTTTGTGGCACCCTGTTTGTTACATACAAGTATTTATTTTGTTACAATTAGCTTAAAATTATTTCATATGAAAAGCGACGCCTAAAGTAATATTTAATACCGTTTGGTTGGGTAACTTTGATAGATATTTAGCACTTTCGCTAACTTTTCTACCCAGCAGTATATTCTATGGCTGCCATTTTTCGTTTCAAAAACATTCTGCCTGCAACCATATCTTAGATAATAATGGCTTTCGGTTAGAACAGACTGTACATAATTTTTCTTGTTATCAAAGTTACCGATAATGTCGAACAACTTTGATAGCACATTTAATTTATATTTAAATCTAACATTTTAATAAACTGACAAGGAATCTGCTCTTAAAAAAAAAAAAAAAAAAAAAGATTGGAGACATCATTTTTTAATCAACACCAGAACATTTTCCAAAATGAAAATGCCATGCCATCAATGGTAATTTTTTTTATGTTGAACATAGCTAAGCCTGTAAATATTATATGAAAATTTCATAAAGTCCTTAAACGAATTTAAAGTCTTGGAGAGGTGAATTAACAGGAGAACTGATAACTGACATCCATTAAAAAACATGGCACGTGGAACTAGAACAGTCTACCCCAGTGAGCGAAATAAAGGTTTCAGTTCGACATTCCAACCACCTGAAGAAGGCCGGAGCGTACAGCAGCCGAAACGTTGTAATAAATATGGCGACAAAGATGAGGACAATAGTCCGAATAATGTAAATAGAGAAAAAAATCCCATATTTATTTTTTCACAGCAAATGTTTTATAAAAGATATTTCCATAAAGCTAAATGTGTCTGAACCGCTGCGCTGTAGAACAGTGGTTAGAAAGTCAGTTATTTTAAAGTAATTGCAACTATAGTAAGTACCCTACATATTTGGCCTTGAGTCAGACGAATTATAAGTTTAGTAAATATTGATACATATATAACTGGAGCACCCCGCCAACCATTTTATTACCATTTCTTTATTTATTTACCATTTTATTACTGTTGTAATAATTTCGTTCTTTGATGATCACTCGAACATGCGTGGCTATCTACAAGACTAAGGTAAGCTTTGTAATTTTGCGTGCCTCGCCAGGTATCAATCTCGTCATCTACTTCAGTGAAATCATCATCATCATCATTCAATGCTTGTTATTTAATTATGACCTTGTGCCAAACTTAGCCGAGCTTGGAATTGTTTATTTTTTAGTGTCTTGCCGGCATACTGTAATGAATTTGGTTTTGGGCTCCTTTTGCGGTCTTGTGCTGGTTTAAAGTAAACTTAATAAATACTGATACTCCTCGTCTTTCTTTAGGTGTCTGTCGATCAGGGAATTTTTGAAACTGTACCTTTTAGTTTTATTTAATCTGCGGGGATAGCTTTTTCTCGCTCTGTTGTCCATATCTCGGGATATCTCGCTCTGTTGACCATATCTCGGGATATCTCGCTCTGTTGACCATATCTCGGGATATCTCGCTCTGTTGACCATATCTCGGGATATCTCGCTCTGTTGACCATATCTCGGGATATCTCGCTCTGTTGACCATATCTCGGGATATCTCGCTCTGTTGACCATATCTCGGGATATCTCGCTCTGTTGACCATATCTCGGGATATCTCGCTCTGTTGACCATATCTCGGGATATCTCGTCTAGTTCTCATCCCTTGACATGGTCAGCGGGACGTGAACAATCTACCCTCGTAGATTAAATAAATGGCTCAATTTTAAATTCTTTGAAGGTTACTCGTATCGGCAAGTACCCGATTAAGGCCGGGGGTGGGTCGCAATAGCCGAAACGTCGTGATAATAACAACAAAGATGAGGACAATAGTTCGCATGTAAATAATGCAAATATTCATATATCTGTTTGATGTTCTCATCTCTAAAATTACCATTCCGATGGAAATCAATTTTTACATAATGTCTGTTATTCTCACATCCCTCATTTTCGACCACAGCTCCTGTAATACATTACAGTTGAAGTGGGCAACACGTGTATTGTTGCCATAGTATTGGTGAGTGTGTCTAGGGTAAGATAGCTTGACCAAGTTCATCCTTCCTCAGGCTGATTTTCTTCTAGATTGGTAACCTTAGGAAGCTAACGGTCTCTGTCATATTATTTCTTCTAGTTGCCGTAACCCTTCAGATCGTGGACGATCATGGCTCTCCACAACATCCTATCCGTTGTAGTTCTTAGCAAAGTTTGTCTATTTATAATCCCTAAATACACTATTATTTACCAATGTTTGAATTCCAGTTTGGCCTCTTAGAATAGTTGCCCTAACAAGGTAAAAAACCCTTGTTTCACTATTTACAATGGTTTGAATTTAAATATTCCCTTCACCTTGAATGGTTACCCTAACAAAAGTCCCGCTTGCTCTATTCTTTACAATGGTTTTAAATCAGATATTTCCTTCTCCTAAACTGGATGACACAAAAAGCAAGAAAGCTGTTTAACCCATACCTGAACGACGAATTTATGCTTTTTTTCAAAGCATGAAGTGAAATAAACGCACGCTGTCAGAATTAGAACTCGGCATACCGTTTCCACTTTCTGCGCCGATAACTTCATCCATGCCTTTCTCTTAGGTACCCCCACGAAATCGCTGAAAAAAAGAGCATAGCTCGAGCAAAAAGACGCCAACCTTGCCGAAAACAAAATTTTATTGTCTAAATGCTTATGTTATTATTAAGAGGAAAGTCCAAAGTTTTTTCAATTATTTTAAAAATTTTTTCCTTTTTAGAACATTCTAAATTTTGATTAAAAAAACTTGTTTCTCTTTGTATCACCCGAACTAGTAAAATAACATAGACAATTTTTAGCACATTTTTTTTTTTTGGTATGACACACATTAATTTGGAAAATCTTGCAAAAATAAAAATAATTGTCGGATGTTAATGAGACTTTCAGGAACTATTCACAGATGATCAAAACTTTGATTTTTCAATTTCAACTGAGAAGGGTACCTACAAGTATCAGTATCATCTTATGAAATTTATAGGATCTTATTTTTATATTAATCTCAGTTATGACATTTTTTTGAAATAATGATAATTGATATTTAAAAGAATTTCAAAGTGAAATTTCCAGTTTTTTTTATAAAATGGAAAAAAAAATGGTCAATTTTGCTGACGAAAAAAAAAAAAGATTTTTAACGAAAATTTCGGACGTGCTAGAAACGATTAAAAAATGTAAAAAAAAAACAAACAACCCCCCCAAATACTTTGATCTTTCCTCTTAATAATAACATAAATATTTAGACGATAAAATTTTGTTTTCATCAAGTTTGGCGTCTTTTTCATCATGCTATACTCTATTTTTTTTAGCGATCTCGTGGAGGTACCTACTTCAACATATCGTAAACTCACCTGCCATTTTCCACATAACTTCCCAGCACTTGGGCGAAACATGTATCGCCTTTCTCTTCGTCGTAAGACACGTTAGGGTAAAAGATTTGCTTTGAGTAGGTGTTGATTTGCTGAGCCTGTCTTTGGAAGTGGAACGGTCTCTTCAAAAGATTCAGAAACATTTTCGTGTACTTGATGTCGTTTGCTAAATTGTTTTCAAGCGTCAACTCCAGCACCTGCGACATTTTGTCGACAATCATTTGTACCGGTTTCTTCCATTTTGAATTCGTCTTGTTTAACCAAACTGAAGATTCTTTTAGCTGACCTGAAAGTAGATACAATACAGCGGAGTAACAGCTAGCAAGATAGTTTTACGGACAACACGACTGTAGTGAATTTGTTTCTCACTGGGTATTCCCCGTGTGCTTCTTTTATACAATGTCCTTTCAGGACATCGTAGGTGATCATGTCTCTAACACAGAATTTCATGAGGAAAATAAAGTTTAGTAAAATATTGCTTGTTTCGTTTCGTCCTCACTTATTCACTCACATTTTCTCATACCTAACCACATACATAAACAATGATTAAGTACAATGTTTCTTGAATTTGGAAACTTTTCGTTGAAGGTAACAGTTTCATTTCAAACCATTGACGATTTTCACTCAGGAAGATCATGCGTGTAAATATCATTTACTCTAGAAACAGGATATTCATAATTTTTTTTTCTCTGGAGAAGAAATATATTTTTCATTTAATAAATTATTTTTTTTTGCATTTTCGAATGAATAAATAAGTGCGTTAAGCACTGTCATCTGTGATAATATAATACCGAGACTTCATTTTTTTTTAATTATTGAGAAATCTTTTCTCCCCCAAAACAGTCAACCCTTTCTCCATTTCTAAGGCAGATGCTTACGCGTATGGTCTTCTGTAGTGAAAATGTCTGATGTGCCTTCAAGGAAAAATTACCTTGAATCTTTTTAGTTCTGCGTTTTCTCTCGCTACGTAATTATCAACGAGGCTCGCGTTTATATTTCTCCCTCCTATACATATATAATTCTATCAATAATAATAAAAAAACAAAAAAACATTACTTTAGTACGATGAAGTCCTTCTAGAGGAGGAACCTCGTTATAGAATTTTTCTACTTTGTCATTTAACTGCCTAATATCATTTCATATAATCATTACAGCAGTACTTTTGTTTACAAGATTGTCGGTGGAATCATACTTATTATAAAACCCAGGTTGTGTGTGTGTGTGTGTGTGTGTGTGTGTCTGTTCGTTTATATATTGGATTGGATTTCCTACATTTTTCAACCGATTTCCACAAAACTTCACTTTTTTTTTTCTTTTTTTTTTTTTTTTTTTTGGCAGGTAGTGTTTCTTGCACACTTTTTCTTTATTTTTACATTCAGAATGCTTTAAAAATTCCATTTACAAGGCAATTGTTTATAAGAAAATTCTATTAAATCGGTAGACTCATAACGATTGAAAACAATGTTTTTGTTTGGGTTTGACCAATTCGTAAAAAAAAAAAAAAAAACTAATTAAGACATGCGTGTCCGTCAACTTTAAACAATAATTTTTGTCAATTTTATTTTTCAGTCTTTATGATGGTCGATACTTGATCTATCTCTTACTGTTACATCCCCGGGCAACGCCGGGCTCTACTGCTAGTGTTTAATATGTACATGTCACCGAAAAAACATTCGGTTAAATAACAAATTTCGAATTTAAAAGATAAGATAAAATCATTATTTACATTATTTGGACTATTGTCCTCATCTTTGTCGCCATATTTATTACAACGTTTCGGCCGTTGTACGCTCCGGCCATCTTCAGGTGGTTGGAATGTCGAACTGAACCCTTTATTTCGCTCACTGGGGTAGACTGTTCTAGTTCCACGTGCCATGTTTAATGGATGTCAGTTATCAGTTATCTCCTGTTAATTCCCATCTCCAAGTTCTCCATTGCCTTAACCGGGTATTAAACTCACACTCTTTGAGTCCTGTCACTGGATCTAACTAACGCCTTTATCCACTGTGCCATGTGTCCTTGAGGAAACATCGCACAGTGGAAATATCAAGGGTGGTCTTCAGTGATGCACTGTTATCATCACCGATTTCGGGTTTTGCATCATATCGGCTCCAACAACAACCCCGACCTGATTCTAGACGAGTCAGGCCGCCTCCTTGAAAGCGTCGTGCCACGCACCGCGTCATTGCAAAAACAGTAATTAATCATAAGGATATTTATTCCTGAATAAAACAGAAAATGTGGCACAAGGCCGAAATGGGGAAGGGGAAAAAGGACGGTCTTGTCTTAACTTCTAAACTTAGCTAGCCACAAACGCTGACCCAATCATACTTACAATATTCCTTGCACCAAAACACACATTCTTACTTACCTTTCTCACCACACCCACCATAATACCTCATTGTCTCAATGAGAATGCTAACTAGTCTCCATATGTACAATATATCATCTGTTGGTGGAGGGGAATAAAACAACAATTAAAAAAAAAATTAAATCTAACCCCAATGAGTATTTACAGTATGAACTAATGACTGTTTACAAGAAACTAAACAAAATCATGTTAGTAATAAAACTCCCCACAATCACTAAATGTGGCAGAAACAGTTAACTGGACGAAATTAATGCGGGACTATAATAATATAAAACAAACGTTCATCCTAAGCACTCACACAGACACGCATTCATTCAAACACAACAACAAATACGAAAACACACACACAAAACGAAAGACGCCCCGCATCCACCAGAGAACTGACGTCACTGACCATCTAATAAAACAATAATCATAAGAAACGAGCAAGGCCGAACTTTAACCGTTGTTATTGACATATGTCAGTCAGCGTCAGCCAATGAAAAACAGGGCTTTTCACACTCCTCTACTATAGTGTTGTCTTTTTATTTTATCCGGTTCAGCTTTGATCTACTATTTCCAAAATCAACCCGTGGAGTTCTATGATAGGCACTATGACCGGAAATAATCATTTTTTTTTTATTGCTAACGATTAAGCACTCGATACAATGAATATCAATGTTTTAATTATCTTTTTAGTAAAAAAATAATAGGGTATCCAGTTTACCATATAAATTTAATTGTAAATTGATCCCTCTACGCAAACAAAAACAAATATATTCATGTGACGTGATTCCTTTAAAAAAATATTGAAATTCGTAATTTGGGTTCTTTTTCTATATATTAGTATCGATTAGACGTTCGAAATTACAAATTTTATTTTTTTAAGAAGAAATGGCGTCATATCCATCCTGAGTATTATAATGAATTACATCCAGCGGCGGCAAAACCCTTGATCGGAAGGTTCTGAGGAGCGTGGAACCACCTCTTAAGTGCTGTTGTTCCCAGGTTTACTCTAACCGAGGGTGACCTCAAATATGGACAAATAGTTAACCTCCAAACTGGGGTCAAAATACTATGAAAGTACAAAAATACATTTTGTAGTAAAAATACCAACAATACATTTTTTGAAGAAAAAAAAATTACCAACGAATATATTTTTGTAAATGAAATTATTAAGGCTCCCAAGAAAATTAAATTTCGGTATTAAATGATCCATAAGGAGTTGATATGCCGCTAAACAAACAAACCATTCTTGTATGAGTATAATTGTTTTGTTTTTTCTTCCGTAGGGTGATCAACTTACAATTAATTTTCATGGTAAACGAGGCCCCTTAACTTTTATCAAATTCAATAAGTGTGTTTTTTTGTTTTGTTATTTTTTTTTTTTTTTTTTTTTTTTAGATTTTTGTGATCTAGAGTAGTTAATCTATAGCAATATGAAAAAAATAAAGGATTATTTCTGGTCACAGTACAGCTCCACCAATCAATTAACTGAATCTATCTTGTCTAAAAATGCATTTTTTTTTCTGTGATCGCGTGCGAAAAACAAGTATTTAAACGCTGACAGATATTCCATTGGGAATTAATTTTCTTTACTTTAGAATTTTTCCTTCGGCTTGTAAACGACATACAGCTAGGACAAATGATTTTCCAAACAATAAAGTGAGTATATCTTGATGAAACTTCAAGAATTTCCTTCACATTTTTACAAACAATATCGAATTTAACGTTTACGTCAACCTAGCAGCGTAATTTCCACGGAACCTGGTCGGTAAAACTAGTTTAAATGAAGAAGAGAACTCTTATTTATTCCCTTTGCCAACAAAGTTAGACAGATTACATATCCCCCCCCCACAAGAGTATATCTGCCCGTCTGTTTGTTAGTTCATAAAATATCCAAAAGTATTCAATGAATTTCCGTGATATTATGTAGAAGGATCAGTTATACAACAAGTGATTGAATTTGATGGCGGATTGAAAGATATTTTTGAGTGAAAGATATATGAAAACAACAGTCAGAAAATTCTATTGTAAAATCTAAAATCACGTAGTCTGTTTTTGATGATATGCACCTATTGAAAAATTATTACACGTTTTTGTCATGACATAATCTGGGATCAGTAACATTTGTGCTAAGATTTTAATAGCAATGATGTTTGCAGAAATATGCGCTCTCTTATTGCTTTCTTATCCATTTATTCATTAGTTTAGTCTTGGTAAATTCAGGACTAACGACCTTCATGAAAAGCACACAGATTTACAACACAGTGGCTAACGCACGGAAATACTTGTAATTCACTTACCTTGACCCAATTGAAGCCCAAATAAGCCATCAACATTAATATTCTCATAGTCGGCTTGGAAAAAATTTGCAGCCTTTTCGATAGCGTTGATCAATTTTGGAATCAAATTTCCCGAAGTCTGCGACGCAAAAACAATATGGAAATTTGTAAATAAACTAAAAATGAAAATATAAACAAACATCTTCCACCGGAAGCAGGAAATAGATGTCCGCCACTTTAGATTTTCTTCCAGTTTATTCGGTGGAAATTCGGATCGAATCAGTTTGATATTTATCTGAAATGAAAAGGAAAACACCATTTTTTCCCACGAATAGTATTTCCAAATTATATGTAGTGTTATGTATTAATTCGAAAATTATTGAAAAATTAACAATGAGCATATCAATTTTGTGTCTGACTCATATGGGCTGTGAATATAAATCACAATATTGAACATACTTAATCAGAATATTTTCAACACTTTGCTGTAAATTGCGTTGGATGAATGGAAAGAGTAACATTGGTTTGGTTTTACGGTATATCAACCTCAATGGCTTATTTAATGCCGACAACATTTTTAGGATAGATTCGTATGAATAGAATATTTATTTGGTTTAGATTGGTTTGGTTTATTTTGTTTTACGGCATATCAACCTCAATGGGTTATTTAATGCCGACAACATTTTTATTGCTGGTAATGTTTTTCTTCAAAAATCTATTTCTGGGAATATTTTTCCTTGAAGAATTCTATAGCTGGTCATATTTTTTCCAAAGAATGTATAGCTGTTTGTATTGCTGGTATTTTTTTTTTAAGTATTGCTGATAATAATTTTTCCTTCAAAAATTATTGCTGGTAATAATTTTTTTTTATTACAAAGTATTTCTGGTATTAAAACCTATTTTTAGTTTGGGTGTTAACTGTTTGCCCATAGCTGGAACCCTAACAGGTGCTACCAGCCGGGTCAGGGTGGATCTGGTAACACCAGCAATTAAGAGGTGGTTCCACGCTTCTCAAAATCTCCTGATCAGAGGCCTTGCTGTTGGAAGTAGTTTATCGTCATACCCAGGACGCGGATGTAGCTTATCGTCATACCCAGGACAGAGTAAGATTAGTAGATAACTTCTTACAGTAGTAGAATGATCACGTGAAAGACTAAGGGAGGTAATGCTTGACCAGCGTGTCTATTATTATTATTATTGTTATTATTCCATGTCCCTAAGAACGTAGGCGGTCATAGATCTCCACAAATCCCTTTTCTTTATCTGTGAATTGTCATGACTTAATGGTAAAGATAGTGGAGTGGTTTTCCATTATCTTCACCACGGTTTTGAATTCATTTTTTTTTTCTCCTAGACTGACTGGCACTCAAGAATAAAATGTCCAGTCTACCCTACTATTTAACCCAGGTAACTAGTGTGCGACGGTAATCAATCGTATTAATGTATGTGCAAGTGCTCTTTATTATTATGGAATTGCTATGGCTTTAAATAGACCACAAAGGGTTAAGTCGTAAAAAAAAAACAATTCAATCAAGAAGTTTGTATGAGCTGACAGATCGTCTCGTGTGTGTGTGTATATATATATATATATATATATATATAGTGATTTTCTAAGTGTAGCTTGGATGTGGTATAAGGCCGAAAGTAAGGGGCACCTAGTGAGTTTTGAACTCCCTACTCAGTCGTAATTGTTCTAGCGAGACAAGTTTGCTAACCATTACACCACCTCGAGGTACACACACACACACACACATATATATATATATATATATCAACTAAACAGTAATCAACGTACAAATAGAACAGCAGCCGCCGAGGACTGATTAGAAAGCTTGTTAGATAATTGCTAGTATTATAAATTCGATCCCCACTGAGTGCCTCACTCTTGAGTTCCCGTGCCAAACACAAGATAAACTCTCTAAATATTGGAACACCAGTCGTAGAACGTTGGTTAAGAAATTAACCTGATGGATTCTTGCTAGTGGGCTGATTTAACCACTATTTGGGAACCTTATTATTGCGACAAAGTGCTCAGTTTTTTTTTTCTTTTTAATCATTTCACTACAAACAAAGGCAATAAAGCAACTAAGAGTCAAGGGGTTATTGTGTGTGTGAAAAATGAGAAAAAGAAAACATTATTAAGGGGAAAGAATACAATAAAAGAACAGGAAATAAGAAGACAACAAAATAAAGATTGACGCTGTCCAGTAGGTTTTATCGAAATATGTTGCTGAATATAGAATATTAGTATTCTAAATTTACTATATGAATAAAAAGAACTAATATTTTGTTTCTTGCGGCATCTTTAGAAAGAAACCTATTGGGCATTAGATATTTAATCAAATGTTACATTTATCGTGAAACTAAATGGGCTTCTTAAGTTTTAACTTAGTATAAGTCGAAATATCTTTGGCTGGGTAAATAAAACTACTCTGGACAAATCCTGGTTCAGCATTTCAAGTTAAATTTCGTCTTCGAATATCATCCATATAACATTTTAAAATCCCGACAGTACAGCTCGCCAAAAGATTTACACAGATTTGTTCATCAATTTATTTCCGAAATTCTAGTTTATTTTGGGGCTTTGGGATTAAGGGTACTAACCTATCTCACGCGTCGGGAAACATTACAACCCTACTCGAAAATCCAAAGAAGGATCTGTAATGTAATCGATCTTAGCCAGTTACTTTCTCATCGACGTGACATGGCTTCCCTCTGCCTTTTCTACAAATATTTTTGGTAACTGCTCTGACGAGCTTTTTCTCCTGGTGCGCCGACTACTAGATTGACAAATATATTTCACCGTTTTACTGTTGAACTAGCTTGATGTAACCGCCACTTCTACTCCAACAATTTCTTTTATCGCACTTCCCACCTGTGGAACTCTAGTCCATTTTCTTGCTTTCCTGATGACTACAATCTTCAAAAATTTAAATGCAACATCAATCGGCATATTCTGTCTTCTTAAACCCTATTCATTTTTTGCTCTCTCCTCAATCCTCAGTATTCTCTTTCAGTTTCACTCCCTGCAACCCACTGCCCACTCTTTCGCTTTGCTTGGGATGAAATGATTAAAATAAATAAATGGATGCGTGGGTAGCGTAACGGTTATCGGCCCTGAAAATGGAATGGCGACCAGAGCTCAAATTCAAGCAGAGTTTGTTACGTTCACTTCTACACTAATGTGCTTGGTAAAGGTACGAATCCGTTTTCCCGTCCTTTTTTTTTTTTTTTTTTTAATCATTTCACCCCAAGCAAGACAATAAAGCCATTAAGATCCAAGGAATTATTGAGTGTGAAAGAATATAAGAAAAAACTATTAGAACAATAAAAGAACAGGAATTAAGACAGAAAATGACAAATGACATTGCATTTAAATGTTTTTTTTTCCCCAAGTCTTTTTAAATGCAAACCTTCACCGAAAGCAAAGAACGAAAACCACTCAAGGTAAAGGATTACTGAACGAGGTGTGTGATATGAACGTAAAAGAAGGATTATGAGAATATGTAGGATAGATAATGATTGACCCTAGACTTGAATAGATTAAGATTATAGTTCGTGGAAGCATCCACTCAAGAGTCTGTTCCACAAAGCGGTTCTTGGGAAGAAGCTTTCGGAGTGGAACACCATTCTTATTAATATGTAGGCAAGTGGGGGATTCATCTCTGTAGACGTAGCAAAGCAGGTCTTAGCTGTAAGGGAACTGGTGGGCCAAAGGATGGTGCTAATCTGAATATTTTCCGTGAAAGTGGCGATCAAGTAGCTATAGGCTTGCGTCCGTGAGAAGTGGGCTGCAAGGTGTAAAGTAAATAACTTCCCCCTCACAATGTCCGCTTTGGAATCTTTTAAAGCCCGGAAAGTGAGAATTGGACGGCTCTATCCCTGGTATAGCAGCAATATTCCATTTTTGGTCAGATCTAACTCTTGTAAATCTTTGGGTAACTGTCACTCTATAAGAAGGAAAAATCTTAATTCAAAACTGTAGCGAAGATAACAGGGAAACCATTTGACTATCTTTCTGAAAACGTCATGACAATTTAGAGATAGTAAAGAAAAATAATCTGTGGAGAGCTATGATCGTCTGTAATGACGGACATAACATTTAAAAGAAAAACTTCGAAGTCGCCATTAGTTTATTTAATACGAACTGATTTCATGATTTAAATTGTCCGAACTTTCCATTATAACTAATATAAAACAATGGATGCAAAATGGAAGAAACGGTTATTCTCCTATTTACGTCGCTCCCTTATATCCAAGATATAACACCTTATTTCATGGACGGAATGGAATATTTGAAAGGAAAACGAACGAGAAACATGCTTTGTTCCCCGAGAGTTTTATGATGCTAAATTATGCATATATTTATATATATATATATATATACACAGAGAAATTATAACATGTATACAACAACAAGCAATGTGTTAAAGAAAAGTGCAGCCTTACTTGTAATATTTTCTGAAGGGAAAACTGGAGTTACAGCGGTTACTTTATGAACCTGATGAGGCCATGTGGTTTTTCCTGTAAGACCTACCGTTGTGGCCTAGGGACATCCTTCTTCTGCGGGCTTTACATCACAACATCTCCTTGTCGCACTATCTCCTGACGTCACGTGTCCCTCGTGACTCTCTCAACGAAAGAAGATAATCGTGTTTTGTATCCCAACGTAAACATTAAGCGATACAAAAAAAGAATTTCTCGTTTCGAAATTTTATAAAATTAAACGGACGGTGTAAGAGATGTAAAATAATAATAATGATTTTTTTAAGAAGTTTTTCTAAAAAAAAAAAAAAAAGAAACATTTAAAAATTAATTTGATTAATTTCTGAAGGAATCTGGAATGTTTCATTAAAATCCGACAATTATCTGATTTTTGCAAGAATTTCTAACTCAATGTATTTTTCGCTGACACTAAAATTTCCCTTACTAATTTATGGTTTCGCGTTGACGCCAGAAAAAAAGAATTTCCAAAGTTGTAAAAAGGATGAAAAATATTCATTTTTGCATGAAAAATAGCTATCTCCACTAATTCGCTAAAAAAGAGCATGCCATAATGAAAAAAGGCCTCAAACTTGAAACAATTTTTTATTGTCTGAATGTTTATTATTAAGAGGAAAGACCAAAGTATTACTTTTTTTTTTTTTTTTTTTTTTTTTTTTTGAGCCAGCAAACTTGCCAGAAATCGATGATATCCGCCATTTTTGAAAAAATGTGAACAAAAGTTAAATTCTCCGTTTAAAAATTTTGTAAATATAAATTATACCTTTTTAAAATGTTGAGGAAAATTAGAAAAAAATAGTTTACTTAACGTAATTG